ATTGGTTGGTTGCATATAGTAATGAAAATAAGATTAATAAAAATTAATGTCAAATTGGGTGGATTCGTGATAGAATGCTTCTGTGTATGTGTGGCGTAAGTTAGCATCGGGTGGTTGCGTGATAGAATGCTTCTGTGTATGTGTGGCGTGAGTTAGCATCGGGTGGTTGCGTGATAGAATGCTTCTGTCTATGTGTGGCGTGAGTTAGCATCGGGTGGTTTCATCACAAATTTTAACCCATCCAAATCTTATTAATTATTAAAATTCTTTTACAATTTCTGATGTATTTTTTGAAAACATTTCATATGCAATATTTCTCCTTTTCTTTCCTCAAATCTTCAAATATTAATAACTTTGGATATGAAATTATTTGGATCTTTTATGAATTTTAAATGTCTTTCTTAATATCAAATCGATTAAATTATTAATATTTTCTAAATTATGCCTTAAAAATCCAAATATAAAAAATCGTAAATAAAAAATATATTTTTTATTTTTATTTTGTAAATAATCCGTTTACTAAATGGGACTGTATCATGAAAGTAACAAAAATCATTATTTAACAAGATTCAAAACTGGTGCAACGAAATGCACATTGATTTTGTAGTGTAACAAAGAGAGATTTATTGTAAAAAGTACAAAATAGTATATTTATTATCGTGATTAGCGTAGAAATGTATGAGTTTGGGACGGATTTCTGGTGCATTCATAACTAAAGTGATACATTGTCTGGAGCAAGTTCAGATCTTTAACTTATGGCTTGTTTGGTGCTAACTCACCCAATTTAAGTGCACTAGAGGGGATTTTGTCTGTAATGAGCATGCACCTTGAGTTGTTGCTTGGTCCGTGTACGAAAGATAGTAATTTAATAATATACTCGATTAAATGTGAATTTCTAATTTTGAATTTGCGTTTTTTCCTGAAAATAGTTACAATATATGAAAGAGTTGGCAAAACTAGAGGACACGTCTTTAAGGGTTTGGCTCGTGCTTCATGTTAATATGCCGAAACTAAAATAAACGTATATTGGGGGTCGAAAATTGAGAGCTCATATCTTTAAGTGAAATTATTTATGATTATCGACAACACATAGCCATTCTGTTCTAACCATTAGGCAAAATACCCCGACAAGCCAAAAAAAGCACAACTCATGATCGTGCTAGACATCAATAATCTTTTGACGTGATTTGTGCCAAACTCTCAAGAAAATCAATAGTTGGCATTTATTCCTAATATGTTATTATAATGCATCATAGAGAACAAAAAATAATACTACATCAAAATAAAATAAGGCTGATTTCATCTCAAACTTTTAATTTTAACAAAGACACATATTGAAATATCATCACCACATATGGTAGAATATTGCCATATAATTGACACTTGACTTTTACACAAGCTCAAAATCAGCATCCCCATAGGATATTAGGTTTTCGAGAAAACAACACGGGATAAAAGTACACATATATATCTATCTAATTTCATAAAATCAAGTTGCTATATTTATCTGGAATGGTAAGATCCAACAAACAAGTGTGATTTGGTGTCACTTTTTTGTCCAATAACAAAAATTTAAGGGTAATTTGTCGAGATCAGTGAGTTGTTTGATGTAGTTATCAGCTCCTCTCAGGTCTTAGATATCCCAAAAATGTTGAGCTTGATTTTCTTTGAATTGCTAACGAGAAAATTGCTTAAATTAAAATCAACTAATGGTATTAAGATTGTGACATGAATAAACTGCCTGGACAACTTCTGTGATATGACTTCTAAGCTTATCTTCTTTTGAGATATCAATTTCTTCAATCATCTTTTTTAAATCTGAGGGGCAATATTCCATTAACAAGTAGAATGATCCTGAGAAATTGAAATATTGGTAAAGCTTTACAAAAGATGGACTATTTAATGTAATAAAATTTTCCAGTTCCTTTTCAGAAAATATCAAATTGCAACATTTCTTCAAAACAAGATCGCAATCATATTGATTTGAATGAACTAAGAATATTACACTATTACTTCCTCTAGCGATGACCTTCTGTATGTGAATTCCATGCTTTTCGAAGAATTCAGTCTCCCTGTAGTTCATAAGGTATTTTGATAAAAGAATTTTCAAAACTTTCAGAAAATTTACTATAATGTATAAAAAGATTGAATTGAATATATAATATTGCGTACAGGATTTTATAAGGAAACAATAAAATATATTGTTCTGAAAAATTAAAAATTTCAAAGAAATCAATATATTGAATTTATTCAAAATATATATATAAGCTTTTTTTATGGAATAATATATAACATTCTTGCAACATGAGAATTAATATAGAAAAATGTTTTTTCTGTTATTCTGAAATAATATTTTAAAAATATGATTATAAATACAAATAAAATATATTTAATAAATACATATTGAATTGAATATCACAACTTAAATTAAACATGAAAATGGCTTGAAAATATGAAATAAATCATATTTAAAAATGTTTGTATTTTATATATTTAAATGATGTATATTGAAAAATTTCTGAAATGATTTGAATAAGATCATTCAATCACTTCATATCGAAATTAAAATATTGACCATAGTGTATGACAATAACAATTTATCAAAAATAGCTTTTTAATTTTTATTCTTTGAAAGATCTTTCAATTCTCATTTAAATTTTATACAATTTATAAGATACCGAAATGCATGATTGGTAATCTTTTAACGAATAATTATCGTTAGATATAGCTAAATTTTAAAATTTAACCCAATTTTTAGTTTTCAAATTTCTTCAATTTCGCATAACTAAATAATTAAAGTTATTTTTGGTATCGTCAATAAATGAAAAATATTACAATTATTTTTTATGAGTAAACTGCCATGATTAATATTATATTTTAGTGATAGCGCAATTGGAACTTCAAATTTAACCAACAGTTCACACTTTGACATCATAAACAGTTTTCGCAAATAATTATAAAAAAATAATAATTTATTTCATATCTAGAACTGATACATCTGATTTTTACAATTTTATAGCCAATAACACATATAATAGCAATGTGAAATGGTGACATTTAAGATATTTCATTTCAGCTGTTTGAATATAAACAAATGATTGTCTTTCGGCAATGATTTATATGTATCAATAATTTCCTGTGTATCGGTGTAACCACAAAAGGGTGACTTTGTCGACAACAAAGATGTCGACCAAAATTATTTCCATTATGCTTAACATATGAAGTATAGTAATGGTGTGTATGGACTCATAGAATGAATTCGAGATATTTTATTATTATTTTCTAAAATATACAAATTTTGCTTGATAGCGCATACATTTTATCGGATTATGAAAATGAAACGAAAAGATAACTCAGGACGAGCAAAATCGTTTATGAATTAGGCCACTTGAAGGTACTGTTTTGACTAACACTTTATTCGTTTTTCTTTCTACATCTACATATAAAATCTGCGCAAATAAGATTTTATAATTAAAAATATTTTTCGAATTGGGTAAATATATCGTTAGCTTTTAGATTTTATTAATCATTTCTTCTTACAATGAGATTGTGGTAATAAGTGCTGCGTGTGATGGTTGGAGTATTGTTAAATTGCGCGAAATTTTGATAAGTTTCAAAAACGATTTATAGTATGTTTAAATATAATATAATATAATATCATGTGATGCCATTGACTGTAAACAATCAATATTAAGTGAATGTTGAAAATCGATATCAATATTTAAAATTTTCAGAGCTTTTTTGACTGAAAGCAATTGTCTTTGGTACCTGGAATGAAGTTCCCCTTGGTGAATTTCTCCAAATTTTTTCTGTTTTTGAAAATGCCTAAGCAAATTTCTAGAAAATGAAAAACGTTTTTTAATTTCGATTTTTTTGGAAAAATGAGGTTAAAATTTTTGAAAATTTAAAAATTAGAGAAAAAGAAAGCATTTCTATTATGTTCTATATCGCTAACACATTTTTATTTTTGTTATTCTACCATTTTTCTACTAAAATATGTCAATTATACAGCAAAATGAAATAATTATTTTTCAATGATATAGAGAAGAAGCATATTTTCCAAAATCTTAAATCAGCAATAGTTTACAACCAAATGTAATTTAGAGTCCTATATAGATAACCAACTATTGTTAGCAATATAAAAATATTTCTTGTTCAAACTAAGGGTTTGCTTCACATGTTTAGAAGCCATGGGAAATGTCTAGAAAATAATCAATAATATCATGATTTTATTCACAGGTAAGTTCTAGTTATAAATTGTGATTTGCATTTTGATAATAAATCTGAATAAAATATGTATTAAACTCGCACATTTAGACTTACCATCATAATCATTTTATCAGTTAGTGACTATTACTCCAGAACAAACAACATAAGATCTGTATCTCATAATCAAATGGAAGTTAAGCCAAGATATTTGTGATTTTACCACCTGATAGTATGCATAATACTATATCAGTAAGAATAGTCAATCTGCTGTTTCAATATCGTTTTAAATTTATATTGTCAAAATAGTACTTTGGCTATCATTGGTAATATGTAAGGTTGCTACTGTTATAATATTTCGAAAAAGTAAAGGTATCAACTTTAATGCAAGTTTTGATGAGTTGAACATCGAATAATTGGATTTTTGCAATATTAATATATTTAGTTCCTAGTATATCATTGTTTTATACTAATGACGTGGATCGATTCCGTTTCAATGATCAGATAAAGCAGAAACAATATACTCAGGTGCCACTTTTTTGGTCTAGAAAATAATTTCACCCCCTTTTGGTGTAACCCCTTTTTTATGTTTCCCAAAACAATCAAATATTTTGACATTAGAAACGGTTTTTAAATAGTATGATTTACGAGTATTAATTCAATTTGAAACAAAGAAAGTTTATCATACAAAAAGAAAATATGAATATATATCTTATTTATCATATAATAATTCAAATTTTGCGAATACTCAAATTTTTCTCCGGTAGAGAATTTATTTTCTCAAATCATTAATAATGCATCATTTATTGGTTATTAGCCTTTATGATCAAGAAATTACAGGGACTGAAAGCTTTGAAGTAACAGAAAATACTTATACCGTTAAAGATGTCTATTTTAGAGACATTACTTATACCCTGGAAAGCAAGCATGTGATTATGGTAAACCAACAATCTACAAACATTGACATTGCATCATCTACATTCAATAATATCAGAGGATCCTCATTTGGTCTTGCAGTGTTCTGTATTGGAAATTTATCAATTTCAAAAGTATGTGGTTATAAATGTCATTCATCATTATCGAACTTATTCTTATATCAAAATAGCACTGCCTTGATTTCATTTTTATCTGTTTCAACATGTTCAGAGAGTTACACAGATAATACAACTATTGATACAGAAAATGCAAGTGTTCAGTACTCTAATATCTCTAATTGCTCCCCTAAATTCTCTGCAATAAATATAATTAAGCCGTATGATAAAATTCAATTTTGTGAATTTATGTATAACAAGCATGAAACACAAGCACTTTATGTGAGAGGTGAAAATATAAATATAAGATCATGTGTTTTTGCTTATAATAATGGAATTGGTTTACTGGCTGAAGATTCAAATTTAGTTCAAGTTGAAGATTCATACTTTATTGGAAATATCAAAAAAGATATTAAAAGTGAAGATGCAACTGTAGAGCTCTACAGCTGCAAATATTCTTCCAATATCATGACTGATGGAACAACAATCAAATTTGTAAGCGGAAATAGGAAGGGCGAAGGAAACATTATTGATCCAATAAGTTCTAATCCTTACTGGGGACAAACAGGATATTATTGCTATTATCAAAATTTTGGGGTTCCTACATGGAAGGAGATCCATCCAGACTGTGATATTAACCAAGCCAAAATTGATGAAAGACTGAAGTACAAGAGAGTTAAGGTAATTTTCTCACTTGGTGAAACATTCAACATCATATGATAGTTCGTATAATGTTTATGGTTGTTAATCATACTCTGAATAAATATTATTGTTAGAATATAATTTTAAACTTTTAAATATCTATATAAGGATAGAATATATCTAGGTAATTATGTTTGAAATGCGAATACAACCTATATTATATCTTTATTATCCATATTTATCTTCATGAAGACCGAAATAAAAAAGATAAACAATTCAAAGATTTATTATAGTATTTTTGAAACATAATCAGAAAATATATAATTAATGGACAACAGCTATCTAAAAAACCTCAGACCTACCTTCAATATTACCGATATGCAGATAACTTGTATCAACTTGTTTTTCCCAAAAAAATTATTGACACTTTTGAATAATGTTCAAAAAAGAAATTTCCAAATCATTGAATATGTAATCTGTCATAATTAACAAATCTATGATTTTTCAAATGATTTTGATTTTCAGAGAATGACGTTAAATTTCGTTGATATTCTTTAATTTTCTGAAAAGTATGTCTTTATCCACTGCTAAGACTAACAATTCAGAAAAAGAAACACAAGGTTTGAAAGACAATGAACAAATTTCAAATAAAACTAACAAGCAAAATCTAAAAATAGCAGATCAATCATCTGCTTCCAATGGAAATTGTCCAAATATTCCCTCTAATAACTCGAATAAAGGTAAGCAAAGCAATAATGTTCTACAATCTGGACCTGTTAAACGTCCATCCCCAACACCTTTAAATCTTCCAAAGCCAACGCTGAATAAAAGCGAAGAACATCCAGTTGAACCACCAAAAACAAGAGATAGTACCACTCAATCAACATCAAATCAAGATGAAGAAACTAATACGCTTAAAAATAAATTTACAAATCCAGTTAAGTTTGTTCGTGCACCTAGAAATCATGGAAGGACTAAGCCACAATTATCAGAAAAAGAAATTGTTCAGGATGTTAGATTTTCTGGAAATGTCACAAGAGAGCCCGTAGCTCAGTCAGCACGTGTCTCACGCCCACAAGGAAACTCTATTCTTACATTTGATCCAACTCAACCACCTGATTTTACCGAAAAATATTCAGTTCAGGCAATAATGTTGTGTGGATTAACTCCAGAAGAATTGCAATATCCGACAGAGTCTCAGCTAAATACATATTCACATAATCCAAGAATTAGAAAGCAAGTTCGTGACAAATTAATTGAGAATAAAGACGCTTTAATTGCAGAAGTCACAGCTAAACGTGAAGAGCTTGTAAAAGCTGATCAGGAGAAAGGAAATACTGATTCTGAACTTAAGTCAGTAACTGGATCTGTTTCAAAAGAAGATCAGCGTCAAGTTGAAGCAATTCAAAAACGACAGAAACGAGAAGTTGAGCAGCTCCTTTACAATATTGTTCTTCAACGGCAAAGAGCCGAGGAACAAAAAATTTGTGAGCAAAGAGAGCTCGAAAAACAGAAACAAAGAGAAGAAGCTGCAGCCAAAAAGGCTGCTGAAGAAGCCGAATGGCAAAGGAAGAGACAACAAGACTTGCTTGAGAAAGAAAAAGCGAAGCAACTTCAAGAAGAAGAGGCAAAGAGGATTGCATATGAAAAAGAACTTAAGCACAAAGAATATCTAGAAGAAGAAGCAAAAAGAAGGCAGGCGGAAGCCAAAGAAAACGAGCGAATTCGTAAAGAGAAAGCTGAACAAAGAATCCAAAAGATTGCAGAAATTGAAGAGAAGCGAAGAGATCAAATTCTTGAGAAACAGAAAGAAGCCGAAATGAGAGAACAAAGGAGACAAGAAATGCTTCAAGAAGAAGCTCAAAGAATGGCAATTGAAAGAGAAGAACGAATGAGGCAACAAGAAGAAGTAAAAAGACGGATCCAAAAGAGGACAGAAGAAGAGGCAATGAGGAGACTTAAATTAGCGCAAGAAAAAGATTTAAGAGCACAACAGAATATAGAAGCATATGAGGCAGAGAAACAGAAAATAAGAAGGGAATTTCAGCAAAAAGAAAAAGAGAAAATCGAAAAATTCCACTCAGCCAGAGAAAGTTTGGACAAAAGAAGAGATGAACTCAACAGAAAACTTCTCCAAAGTATGGAAGACGCAGAGAGAAGATGCAGGCAATTAGAGCACGAAAGGATGATCAAAATTATGGAAGCTCAACAAGGATATTCGCAGAACCAAGTCAAAATCAAAGAGAAAATGGAACAAATCAAGAAACAAGAGGAAAAAAGAAGCCAAGAAATCCTTCAGAAACTCAAAGATGCAGAACAAAGAACAGAGTCAGCAAGAGAAAAAGCTGAATTACAGAGGCAAGAGAAAGCTATTGCCATCAGACTGCATAATGAAATCAGAGCACAAATTGCTCAAAGAAACGAAAGAAGAAAAGAGGCAGAAAAACAAGCACTTAAAGATAAATTTGAAGAAAGAATCAGACAGATTGAATTACAACAGCAACAACAAGCCTTGGAAAGAAGAGCAAATGAAAGAAAGAGAAGACAATTACAAAATGATAAGTTGGAACTTATGCAGAAAATTTCAGTTCTTAATAATATCGATGATAATGTAAATGATCAGACAATTCAGAATTTGGCTAATGAGTTTGGCATTAATATGGATGATATATATGCTAAGGCAAAGAATAAGAGAGGTGAATCTTCCCTTTACCTCTCTATGAGATCTTTGGATTCAAAGAGCCAACAGTAATTCACTTTAATGTAAGTTAATTATATTATATTATATTTTTTGTTTTTTATTATATAGTTTATGAATAAATTATAATTTGAATAATATTTTATATTCTCTGATAAATACATATGAGAGCTGCCTTGACAATGGTGTATATATATTATTTCAAACGAATTTGAGTCAATTGTTATGAATGTTTCGATTGTTCATTTAATTTTCAAAAAATTTCAAAGCATGCCTCCAATAATGCTAGAACCTCGATATAATAAACACGAATTCAAGCTATCTCATTCTGTTTTCTCTCGTTCAAGTCAATCCTTCATATTTGCAGCAACTCAAAATACGCTTATCGATATACAAAATTCGGAATTTAGGAATTCTCTTGATTCTGCAGTTACTATATCAGCAAGTAGAGGTCTTAACAAATATATTTCGAAACAAATTCATATCAATTCAGAGCCAAATCATACTTTTGTCAATTGTTACTTTGTCAATTGTCATACCAATTCAAAATATGGCGGTGGAGCCATATTTTTTGATGAAATAAATGGAAATTTGAAAATCAAAAAGTCAACTTTTTATAAATGTTCCACATCTAATAAATACTCTAATGGTGGAGCAATATTAGTTAAAGGTTGCTCAGGAACATCGAAATTTATCGAAAATTGTTTTACGAAATGTACAACAATCCAATCAGGGCAAGGTTTTTTCTTACATTCAAGCAACATGTTTACAATAATGAACAGAACATCTTTCCATTTTTGTCCAGATTCATACTCAGATTCGCAATCAAATTCATTTGCAATATCTAGCGATATTATGGTTGAGACTACCAACCAATCATGCTCTACTTGCTATAAAACCCCTATTTTCTCAATTCGTGGAGAAACAATATGTACTGTGTACTTTTTTCAAGCGAATAACAATACTTGTGTAGACGGATCCTCACTATACCAAATCGTTATTAATAAACAGTCTAATGTAGCAAATGCCGGTAATTGGAGCATTGTCAATGGAATTAATCAACAAAATATTGGGTATTATTATGTTGATGAATTCATTCATTCTTTTCTTATTGTCTCGAAATGTGGAAGTAAGACAAGGATTCAATGTGGAAATGGCAAACTTACTCTTAGATACTGCACATTTGAGTCTCCTCTCGAAGCTGTTAATAAAACAGGGGTTATATTATCTGAAAATAGTATTATTGGAACAGGTATCTTTCAAATGAAATATGTTTTTACAATGAATTGCGGTTCAAATATTGAACAAAGTTTGGTTGATAAGGCATCCTTTGCATCCATATTTGTATTATCAGTTTTATGTCTTGTTTTGGCCATTCTCTTCAGTTTGGCTGCCAAAGCCTCAAAAATGAGAAACGAAAAAATATATGAGTTGTTGTCAATTCCGGAGACTGAAAATTAATATTATTAAATTAATAATTGTTTGTTCTATTTAATAAAAACTTTGATAACTTTTTTTTTTTTTGAAAAGAGTTTGTTGATGCCGACAATAGTTCATATTTTCTATTGCTCTCAATGGCTTATCAAATGACGTTTTGATTTTATATAATTTTATAAAGTGATCAAATTAAACTTACAAATAGGAAATGATTAAAGTTGATAGGAAAACTTATTAAAATTAAAACGGTTGTTTGAGCTAAAATAATATAAATATTTAAAACAAAATAAAAACATATATCGAAGTATAATTAATCTTCTATAATGGCACAAAATTCATTAAAATCAATCGTATTGTCATTGTTAATATCAAACTGACGAATGGTTGCCCAAGCGTCTGATTTCGTAACTTTTTTACCCATTTGAGAACCAAGCATTATAATTTCATCTACATCAAGTTTTTCATTATGATCTTTGTCACAAAAGTCGAATATAGTTCTTAATATTTCCTTTTCAGTGAGTTGATGCATTTCGGAGCAGAAATTTAAGTATTCCTGAAAGTCTATTTTTCCATTATGATCTATATCATATTTTTCGAAGAGAATAATTATCATTAATTTTTCTAATTCGTCAGATTCATCATCTAGTATTTGTGCAACAGACTCTCTTGATAAGAGTCCTGTGTTATCTACATCTAGTTCCTCGAATCTTTGCTTATATTTTGCAAGTTTCTCGGGTGGGATATTCAATTTTAGTAATGACCAGTTTTAAATTAAATTTTAAATTTTTTTTGGATTTATAAATTTCGAGATAAGCATTGGTCGTATTCTGATTGTTTTATCTATCCATTTTTATTCATATAAAAATAAGATGATTTATCACATATCTTGATATATTCAATAATCTTAAACCATGGTCTAAGATAAAATTTATCACAATTATCGACATCTTTCGAAAATTGTTATAGACCGAAAATAGATTTTTTCGGTTTTCTCTTCAAATAATTGAAAGAATGATACTATTATAGGTTTATTATATTATATAGCATATAATCATGCTATAGCCGAAAATTATAAGTTTTGAGAAGATTGAATATAACACAAATAAATTTGAATGTAAGTTAAATTGCTTGTTGTTTTTAATAGCTATTTAATGAGAAATCCAATATTGCAAAATTCAAATTGAATGATTGAAAGAACAGAAAAAGTCATTCTTTTCAATTTCGAATATGTTTCATTGTATTTATAATTATATGGCAAATAAGATATTTAAACTTAATTTTTGAAGGAAAATTCACAAAATTGAATAAATTCAAATAATTTTTATTCAAAAATAAACTAGTTATTTGAGTTTATTACTAATTATCTATTCAAACTACAAAGTTTGTAATTTAAAATATTTTGTGAGATCAGATTGAATTAATTCAAGGTTCTTTTCAATTAATATTAATGACCATATTACGCATTTTCGAACATTCTAAACCAAATATATAAAAATGGGAGACGAATGTTAAATTTGCTAGACATGGGGGAGTTGTCTGCAAAGTTTTAGCTCTTATCTCTAACAAAAAATTAATTTTTAAAAAAAAAGACCGAATACGTTTCACAGCGAGAAAAAAATAAAAGGCAAGATAGAATTTTCTAGACATAAAGAAGTTGTTTACCGAGTTTTAGCTCTTATCTCTAACAAAAAATTAATTTTTAAAAAAAAGACCGAATACGTTTCACAGCGAGAAAAAAATAAAAGGCAAGATAGAATTTTCTAGACATAAAGAAGTTGTTTACCGAGTTTTAGCTCTTATCTCTAACAAAAAATTAATTTTTAAAAAAAGACCGAATACGTTTCACAGCGAGAAAAAAATAAAAGGCAAGATAGAATTTTCTAGACATAAAGAAGTTGTTTACCGAGTTTTAGCTCTTATCTCTAACAAAAAATTAATTTTTAAAAAAAGACCGAATACGTTTCACAGCGAGAAAAAAATAAAAGGCAAGATAGAATTTTCTAGACATAAAGAAGTTGTTTACCGAGTTTTAGCTCTTATCTCTAACAAAAAATTAATTTTTAAAAAAAAGCCGAATACGTTTCACAGCGAGAAAAAAATAAAAGGCAAGATAGAATTTTCTAGACATAAAGAAGTTGTCTACCAAGTGTCAGTTGTTACTTCTTCTCAATACTGATATAAAATAAAAATCTTTATTATTATTTAACCTTTATTGTTTCATTAAACTTCATTTATTTTATATTATAGTTTTATTCTTTTAGCTACTTGTAAAATAATCTAATTTTATATCATCATTTTACCGGATTATTCTTCAGTACATCGATTGTGTATCTAAAATAATATCATTATCCTTATTCTGTTTTTTCCAAAATTCTTTTAAATGTCTTTTTTGGTTAGATTACTTTATACTTTTTACTTTTATTTTTTAATTTCGAAAAAAAATTTGGTGATTGTTCTATTCTGTTACAATGTGCATTATCATATTCTAATGAATTATTCATTACATACATTTAAAAAAACTTGTTAAAAATGAAATTAAAAAATTATGTTTATTATTACGCTGTGAATGTGTCAACAGCGGTCATGCCTGTATCTGTATCTCATATTTGCCACAACCTTTCTGTATCTGCATTTGTGTATTTCGGTTTCAGCTGATACATTTGATTTGGCGTGTAATTTGTTCCAGTTAATGGATTAATTGGGAGATCTTCATGCAGTGTGTTATTATTGTACTCCCAAATAAAGGCAGGAATAGCTTGAATGCTTTGGCAGCGCTCCAATGTCGGCCAGAATCTCTCAATCTTCCCATTTTGGTAGGGAGAATGAGAGTCTGTATGCCGCCATTGGACGCCCCAAAGATCAAGTAGATCTTGAAAGGCGCCCCTATTTTCTGAACCGTTGTCGGTCCAGAAACAATAAGGGGCGCCAAATTCAATGAAGGCGGAAGCTGCAACGTTCGCTGTCGTCGCTGCCAGCATATCTGGTATTTGTATACACGCTAGGACTTTGCGGCTAAAATTGTCGATTATGCCATAAATATACTGGCCACGAACACCCCTAAAATAATGAACATCTGCGTGCCAGATAAGATTGGGTGAAAGCGCCCAATATCTTACTGCTGTTTCTGGCCCGGCATGCTCTAATCGCGTCTTGGTGAAATGATTTTCTTTGAAGTATCTGCGTACTTCTCTATAAGATACATCAATTTGTTGTAATTTCAAACGTTTCCATTGTTTTGTTTGACCACAGGGAAAGGCCAGTGGTCATGTATCACAGCAAGAGCTTTGATTTGGTCGTAGGGATTGACCCTACGACCTTTCTTGCCTTTAGGCAATGGGATATTCTGTAAGCTAAATTGATTTTGTAAAAAAGATTTTGAAACATCTAAATATTTGAAATCATTTGATTGAAGGGTTGGGGCGATGGGAACATGGGTGCAAGCTTCTTCCCATGTCATTTTACCTTCTTCAATCTGATTGGAAATACCAATTAGGTAAATTCGATCGACATACCCTTTGTAAGGATTCATTCTAATGAAGTACGTTAACAATCAAAATATTCTATAAGTGTCTAGTATGGAATTCAAAAGAATAAAGAAAATGGTAACGTAAATAAACGTAATATTAAATAATTTATTAAATGAAAAAAAGAAAAAAATAATAAGTAAAGTGACTGAAAATGAAAATTAAAATCAGTGTACAGTTTTATTTTTTTCTCGCTGTGAAACGTATTCGGTCTTTTTTTTAAAAATTAATTTTTTGTTAGAGATAAGAGCTAAAACTCGGTAAACAAACTTCTTTATGTCTAGAAAATTCTATCTTGCCTTTTATTTTTTTCTCGCTGTGAAACGTATTCGGTCTTTTTTTTAAAAATTAATTTTTTGTTAGAGATAAGAGCTAAAACTCGGTAAACAACTTCTTTATGTCTAGAAAATTCTATCTTGCCTTTTATTTTTTCTCGCTGTGAAACGTATTCGGTCTTTTTTTTAAAAATTAATTTTTTGTTAGAGATAAGAGCTAAAACTCGGTAAACAACTTCTTTATGTCTAGAAAATTCTATCTTGCCTTTTATTTTTTTTCTCGCTGTGAAACGTATTCGGTCTTTTTTTTAAAAAATTAATTTTTTGTTAGAGATAAGAGCTAAAACTTTGCAGACAACTCCCCCATGTCTAGCAAATTTAACATTCGTCTCCCATTTTTATATATTTGGTTTAGAATGTTCGAAAATGCGTAATATGGTCATTAATATTAATTGAAAAGAACCTTGAATTAATTCAATCTGATCTCACAAATATTTTAAATTACAAACTTTGTAGTTTGAATAGATAATTAGTAATAAACTCAAATAACTAGTTTATTTTTGAATAAAAATTATTTGAATTTATTCAATTTTGTGAATTTTCCTTCAAAAATTAAGTTTAAATATCTTATTTGCCATATAATTATAAATACAATGAAACATATTCGAAATTGAAAAGAATGACTTTTTCTGTTCTTTCAATCATTCAATTTGAATTTTGCAATATTGGATTCTCATTAAATAGCTATTAAAAAACAAACAAGCAATTTAACTTACATTCAAATTTATTTGTGTTATATTCAATCTTCTCAAAACTTATAATTTTCGGCTATAGCATGATTATATGCTATATAATATAATAAACCTATAATAGTATCATTCTTTCAATTATTTGAAGAGAAAACCGAAAAAATCTATTTTCGGTCTATAACAATTTTCGAAAATTTGAATTAATCCGGAAGTTAATTTCTAATAATAAGTTTATCGTTTTTTATGATAATTCCCGAGTAATAATTATCAAATGATTTCGTAAAATTTATCAGACAAAAGAATCGAAATTGCATAATTTTGAGTTAAATAATTCTAAGCTTAAATTTATAAATACAATTAATAAAAAAAGCTTCAGAATTTTAACTTTGAGATAAAAAAAAGTAAGTAATCGAACACTTATCATTTCAAAATAGAAAAAAATAAAATAAATGATAATATCATATGATTATAATGTTTCAATTTCAAATTTTGACACAAAATTGAATTAGCTCATAGAAATAAATCAATAATCGTTTCTTTTACGAACGGGGAAAATGTTAATACGTTCAACATAAATTGAAATATTTTAGAAAAATCAAATAAGTGAGCACAAATTGATAGTTATCGTCAAATCAACGATAGCTTTTCTGGAAAACGGTCTCGGGCTAATTATATTTTTCAAAAAAAATTAATAATGAATTAATATTTAATACAATTTACGTAAAAAAAATCGAGTTCCTAATTGAGAGGATATTGATTACATGGCATAAAATTATTGCTATGTCAACAACACAAGCTACAAAAGGCACTGGAACCAATGCCAAGAAGGCTGCAGCATCAGCTACTTTAGCCTCAACAGCTCCAGCTAAAAAGAATCCATTCTGGGATACAACCTACCGTCGTGATTATTGCAAGGGCGTAAACGGCTGGACATTCAAAGAATTCTCCGATTCTGCAGATGATGATGAGCTCCTTTCATCTTCTGTTAAAACCCGCTCTATCAAATTAAACCCACTTTGGGAATCAACGTATCGTAGAGACTACTGTGGCGGATGTGAGTGCTCCACAGCGCCAGTTGGAACAAGACTTATGACCCGATCACTTGATGCTGCTGAAGATGACAAAGAAGCAAATAAGAATGTTTGGCAAACTACATATCAAATAGATTTTTGCAGTCGCTTCGCAAAGCCAAAGCGTAGACTCTGAAATATCAATTATTATTTATTAAATAATTTACCATTTGAGTTTTTAGCCAATATTATCAATTTTTCGCCTAATGTTTTGAAATAAATAGCGATCACTTGGTATAATTTATCGCTAAAATAATTATAAATAGCTTTATATTAACATTAAATTCAGAAAAATAAATTTCAGTTTATTTGAAAGCCCAAGAACTATACTATACTAAAATTATTTCATAAAAGTTCGGAGACTTTGAAACATTGAAACACATATCAAAATATCGATTTTTTTTAAAAAAATCTTGATTCAATGGCTTTAAATGTTTAATATTAGAAAATAGTTTCTTGCATGAAAAAATATGTGTGTAATATATTATGATGTCTTAAAAAATTAGTTATTGGACCGCGGCTGATATTACCGGTTACGTTGGAAGACGATAATATATCCATGGATAAAATAAAAATAATTATTTTCCTGAACAAGGTGATATTTCGGCGAATATCAAAAAAAAAAAAAAAAAAAAAAAAAAAAAAAAAAGGTAGTGGGGCTTCCAGGCACTTCGTGCCTTCTAGCCCTGAGGATGAATGAGTATAATGAAGTTTTTTTTTCTTGGGGGATGGCTTCCAGGCACTTCGTGCCTTCTAGCCCCCGAAGATGTTTAGAATATGAGAGAGGTCCTATAAACCGGAGAAAGTGTCATATAAACATCTGTCATTTTACTCAGAATTTTCATGAAATTTACACCAAAAATATATTTTAGGGTAGAAGGGTATATCTAACCTCTTTTCTAACCTCTTTTCTACCCTCTTGAATTTTCATGAAATTTACACCAAAAATATATTTTAGGGTAGAAGGGTATATCTAACCTCTTTTCTAACCTCTTTTCTACCCTCTTGAATTTTCATGAAATTTACACCAAAAATATATTTTAGGGTAGAAGGGTATATCTAACCTCTTTTCTAACCTCTTGAATTTTCATGAAATTTACACCAAAAATATATTTTAGGGTAGAAGGGTATATCTAACCTCTTTTCTAACCTCTTGAATTTTCATGAAATTTACACCAAAAATATACTACTAGGGTCATTTACGAAGAAATCTCAACAAAGTCTTTACGATGAAGTCTTGACAAAGTCTTTACGAAGAAGTCTCAACAAAGTCTTTACGAAGAAGTCTCAACAAAGTCTTTACGAAGAAGTCTTAACAAAGTCTTTACGAAGAAATTCATGAAAATTCAAGAGGGTAGAAAAGAGGTTAGAAAAGAGGTTAGATATACCCTTCTACCCTAAAATATATTTTTGGGTCATTTACGAAGAAGTCTCAACAAAGTCTTTACGAAGAAGTCTCAACAAAGTCTTTACGAAGAAGTCTTGACAAAACATTTACGAAGAAATTCATGAAAATTCAAGAGGGTAGAAAAGAGGTTAGAAAAGAGGTTAGATATACCCTTCTACCCTAAAATATATTTTTGGGTCATTTACACTCATTTACGAAGAAATCTCAACAAAGTCTTTACGAAGAAGTCACAATAAAACATCTGTCAAAAAACCGCTTTTAACTTCACTTAAAATGCCACGTAAGCTACGTAAGAATATACGTAAGAGGAAGAGAGCATTGAAACATCCAATAGTAAAACTGACACCACAACAACAGTTGCAACAACAAATGCTGAATGACCCCACTATGTTGCAACAAATGTCAAGCAATCCTATGCTTTTAAACCGAGTTGTTGGTGCACAGAGTGGAGGTTTAAGAGCGGCACTTTTAGCGAAATGGCAGGCTATGGTGGAGCTGCAGACGGAACAGCTTATAACCCTCAAAGTCAAATGAATTTGAGTTCACTCAAAAATCAAATAACAGATGTCAAAAAGTCAAACATAGACATACAGAAGCAAATAAGTGAAAACGAAAAGAAACTAGAATATGACAGACACACAAAGAAACTCAATGAGTTAAACGTAGAGAAAAAGAAGAAAGAAGAACAACTGAAAGAACTAAGTACAGAGGAATATGCGAAAAAAGTGTCAGAAAAAGCAACAGAAGTAGCAAAAATGGAACAAGATGTCATAAATTTGAAAAACCATACTACTCAATATAAAGTACTGAAAGATGAAGAGATAAAACAAAAAGCCCTGAAGACATATATGGATAGCGATGAGTATAAAAAAGAAGTTGAAGCAAATGTAAAGGCAGAAAAACTTTTACAGTTGCAAAACCAAACCGTACAGTATGAAAACTTAGCACAAGAAAGTAAAAATAACGACGCGGCTATGCAAAAGGCAATGAAAAGCGCAGAATATATAAAAGCTAACAATGACTGGTTAGATGCCCAAGCCAACGCTAAAGCAGCCCAGCTTATAGGGTCAATAAGGACAAAAATACAAGCGGATGAAGACAGTTCAAATGAAGCTTTAACAAATGCTGACTTTAAGAACGCTTTCGAAGCTCTTCATAGTAAGGTGAAACAAGTGAACGACTTCTCATCTGGAAAGAAACTGAAGTCTGAAGGTTTCGACAAAGAGTTAAAAGAAGTAGCACAAAATATGACGAAAATAACAGATGCAGCAACGAGACAGGCAGTTCAAAGTGCCTATGATGCCGTTAGAGCAACTGTTGTGAAAAGTCAAGAAAAAGAGTTACAACAGACCAAAACAGACCTAGTAAATGCTTTCTTAAGAACGAAAAGTCAGGTAGGACATTACGCTGCAGATGGAACATATGTGCCAGCTGGTGGAATTTATATACCACCAAACCCTCCAAGAGAAGCACCTGCACCAGGACTACCTAGAACATTTACATCGTCACATGGACACAGACACAGGCATGCACCAAAACCAACACAACAACCAACAGTTCAAAATCCAGCACCACAACAACAACCAACAGTTCAAAACCCTGCACAACAACCAACAGTTCAAAACCCTGCACAACAACAACCACAAACAGAGCAAGGACATAAAAGAAGTAGAGAACAAGGAAACCAAGAATTCTTAAAAATGCTTAAAGAAGAGTGTGGTTTCCCAGATACTGTTGACTTTAGTGACAGATATAAAGAAGCTATTGGAAAGTTCAAGGATGGAAATACTGACCCGAACCTATTTAGCTTTATGGCTCAGCACCAAAACGGATATAATCTCAAACCTGGAAAATACAAGCTCGCTAAGGGATATGATTTAATAGCATATCATCCAAATGACATGAACGAATTTACTCCGAGATATTTGATGTCAGAGCTAAATGACAATTCAACTTTCGTCATGAAACGCGTAAAAAATAGAGACGGAACGAAAGAACAAAAGCTTATGAATGCGGATGACGTAGATAGGGAAATTGTTGAAAACGGTCTCGGAATATATGAAATGCCAGCAGATGAGGTACAAGAAACTCCACAGGAAGAAGTTCAGATACAACCAGACATGGAAGAAATAGTTCAGCAACAACAGCTAGAAGAGCCTGAAGGAAACGAACAAGTCACTCCTTTGGAAACTAACTTCACAGAACTAGATGAAGATTTGGAACAGCCGAAAAAATCTTGACCCTCAACAAGAGTATGCGGAGAATATGGATATTTCCAAGAGTCTAAAAAAAATTCGGCTGACATAGTAGAAGAATATCGAAAAATGTTTGCCGACATACAAAAGACTCCAACATCAGATGAAAATATCCAGCATAGAATGGAAGAACTGAAAAAAAATGTACACAAATACAACAACCCTTTTTACTTACGAGCATTTAACGTTCAATCTTCGGATGAACTCGGTGAAAATAAAAGGTTAAATTTCAAGAAAACATATAGAAATGAAACATTGTTTAAAGTTCATTCAGAACCTAACCAAGATGGAAACAAACCTACTTTTGTTTCTGCAGACGATGGAACTACAATGAGATGGGGTCATAAAGCTAATCCAGATAGGTGGTTCATAAACTTACAACCACAATTCCAAGAAGTTGTAGACGCAATGGAAGTGAATGGTGAACCAGATATAGCTGGTATTTTCAGCGCGGCTTTAATGCATTGAAAGATATGAAAACATGCAGATATTTTGGACCAGTATGAAATGAACATGGCTGATGGAAATATAACACCTGACGTTCTAGAACATTTATCTCAAAGAACTACACAGAACCATAGAGATGGTATATTTGTGAAGAGTTTAGAAAGAAAGTTATGGACAGAGAAGGAAGAGAACCTATTGTACATGACCTTGCAAACGAAAGTTTACAAAATGTCATAAAAACTTACTTTGCAGACGATGAATCGAGAAGGGATGAATATTTAAGAAAACTCAAATGGACAGTACCAAATGAAATGTTAGTATTGAAAAACATGTTCCTTGACAAAATAAAACCAACTACAGAAATAAACGACGCAAGACTGAAAGATTGGGTAAAAGCTTTCCCATTCACAAAAGATATAGTTGGTAACATGGAAAGAAAACCAGAATGGCTACAAAAACATATATTTGGAAACGAGCTTATTCCATATGGACAGGCACTGTTTGAAGAGCTTGAACCAGAAACTCAGGAAAGAGTCATGCAAACAATACGCGAAGACTCAAATACAAACTATGACAAACTCTTTCTAGGATATAGGGTACCTGAGATGGCGACCAGAGCCCAAAGGCAAAAAGGACATGGGAAATTTACAACATACTAGGTGAACATGAGGCAAAGATGCAACAACTTCAAGCAGAGGGCAATGAAGGAAAAAGAAGAGTTAAAAACTCAGTCAGGAAGAAAGTAAAGCTTGGTCGGAGTGGGTTCTATTATGACATATAATCCAACTATTCTATATTTTTACTCATATGAAATGTACGCCGCTCAGAATATAACGCCAACAGTTTTGGATGCTATGAATGGAAATGTTTCCGAATGGTATAACGAATGCGACAATGCCATTAGAAGGTCAGAAATAGTTCCTGGAACTTACGAATATACAACTGCTGTTTCTTATGGAAACGTAGGTGAGTTTGGAGAAGGTTCTTCAACAACAGTAGATATTGCTTGCGACAGGTTTCATATTATTTCTATTGACAACTCATTCTTATACGTGGAACAAGACATTGAAATAAAACCTTCTGCCAAGTTGTCTGACAAGAAAGGTTGCAATGGAATTTTCTATGTCGGATACCAATATGCTCCAGAAGTTTTCATGGATATAAGATATATTCTAACTCTGACTTAGTTCAAACAGTAACATGGGCAAACTATGAATGGTTCGCTTTGAGAAACTCAGTACAACCACAAGCTAGAGAACAAACAGACCAGTATGCAACTATTGAGAAAATAAGAAGACTTGACCTAACGTTCCAGGAGTTTATGTTAACCTTTCTGGTTCAGATGGAAATGCTGTCACTAAAGTAAACTGAAACTTAGAGTTCCTTTGTCATCTTTCCTCATCTTCAGGTTTTTAAGATACTTGCCAAACTGGGCAGGAAAAATTTCTATCGAACTTACTCCAAGCAAAAAATAACTTAGTCATTGCACCAACACAAGACCCATTCAGCATTGCTGTAGCTGGAACTGGTGGAGCCAAGTTCTGTGACTTTTGCAAAGACAAAGTTGACTTAGACTTTGGTTTCTCAACCTCAACACTGAAGTAAACTATTATTTCAATGCTGCTGGAGATGCTTGGGACCCAGTTAAGTTACATGCGAAAAGTTTGAATGCAAGAGAATAGAAAGCAGACTTGCAGTCTATATGTTGGACCCAGATATTTCAAATGCTTTAGCTGCCAAATATATTGCAGTTCCACTTATGTTCCCTATACACCAAATATCTGTCAAAGACTTTGCAGGTGAAGTTGGAAACCAAAGTGCTGACCCAGGTGCAAGAACGGATATTGCTTTAAACAACTGCAATGAAACATGCAGATACTATGTTTGTACTGTTCAACGAACTATAAATGACTATTCTTGTTTCTACAACCCTGGTATTAAATATCATATAAACATAGATGGCAAATATTATCCAAGAGAAGAATATTCTACAGTTGAAGATATGAGGTCATACAACTTGACATTAGATGCTATGAACTTTAACAACAACTTCACAACAACCATTAACCCTGAAATGCAAAGTTCTATTATGCCATATGTGAAAGTATGGACTCATACAGGAGGTCAAAAAACTCAATATACAAATGGAGACCGTTCAAACTTTTGGCTTGGCATTCCATTTGCTGACTCAGAAGACTTTATGGGTGGTATTTCAACTGTTGGTACAGTTCAAATACAATATACTGGTGACAGAGACGGTCCAGATGAACTGAGAGCAAAGAAGTTTACAAAACCAATAGCACTTTTCACGGAAGATGCTCTTTTGAAGATTCGTTCGATGAAACCTGCTGGGGCTCCTCAGATTGGCATAACGACAGCTTCCATCGAGCAGATTTTGGCAGCAGGTCAGTAAGTTGTTCTTGAACTGACTTCTCTCCGTCAAATATTGACAGTACGCCAGTTTTGATATAATATTGTATTATAAACTTACCTTTAGAAATATCGGTCAGTTTTGTTGTTATATTTTTGTCTGCTTCAAGAACTTTCACCATCTCGGTTATACCAACTTTCTTTGCTTTATGAAAATATTTTGGTTCAGCAAAGACTGCTATTCTATAACATTTCCATTGTTTGTGTAAAGAACTACTCTGTCAATGAACTTGTATTGTTTGTGTGTGTAAACTTTGTTTTGCTTCAATTCGAAGAGATACTCAAATACGTCCATCTTTTTATTCTAAGTAAAATGTCATTTCCGAAAAATAGAAGCGTGAGTGTTTCAAAAGGTTTAATGGCGGTGGCAGATGTGAAGTTTAAATTCACCAACTCAAACAAACAGTCAAAGTGTTGTTGTCAATGTCAAAGAAAGAGATGTTGAAGTGGGGAAACCATACGAAGACGAAGATGGTATAACAATAGTTCCTGTAAAAGAACAACCAACATATCCTGAAGTTAGCAGAGACTTAAGTTCTGTTGCAGATATTCGAAACGACTACCAACAACTTAAAGACAAACTTAAAACTCAGGAGAAGATTTGTCAAGCTTTAGGTATAATGTTAAACTTGGTCGAACACAACCCTGTAAAAGTGAACTCATATGTCATCGCACCTCATGAAGTTTTGAAAGAACTATTGAAACTTTTGACAGAGGCAGACGATATAAACATCAAAGAAATAGAACCCGACATTGCTTGCTGTGGTGTTTCATATAATGTCATTGACAAGATATACGTTATGAAAGGAGGTGAAACGTTTGAACTTAAAATATAGTTTCCCAGACGTCATAAAAATATTTGACGACCACAAACATTTCATTAAAAATTTAGTTGCTAAGTAAAATGTCAAAACTTCTTGAAAGATGTTTGAAGAAAAATAATATAGACTTTATTTCATGTAAAGGACTTTACACACTTTTGAACGATATGAAAGACCCTGTTTTGTTTGTTCGTGTAGACAAAGGAAAGTTCTATGTCTTTACAAAATATTTGAACTTCTTAGACAGAGAACTTCAAGAAACGCATGTGAAAGTTTAGATGAAGTTCTTCTCCACTTTCAGAAAAACTTTTAAATATATGTAAATGGCAGAAGACACAATGGTTTATACTATTACGACTAAAAACCCTGAGTCATATAATTCTATAACAACAAACTTACAAAGTCCTCAAGGACGATATTGTAAACTAACCTTAAACACAATGACGACTAAAGCTTGTTTTGCTCTTTTGACACCAGAAGACTTTGTTGTTGTGAATGGTAAAAAAAATACTTCTTTGAAGATACTTACTCAGATATACCACCAACAGGTTTTGTTGACTTATTAATACTTTAAGGACGGATGTAACATGTGCTGCAACTAGAGCAGGTTTCATTATGTTTGGATGTCCGACTGAGTTTACTATAAACAATATGAGCTATAATACAAAACTTATATCTGGTTTTTACTACCAACAGTTTCCTATAACAGGAAAAGGTGTCATACAAGGAATGTCTGTTCCATTGACTTTAAGTACACCAATCTTATATATTGTTTTCAAACTTAGGTTCAAAGTGTTATTCGAATGTCGACAGAAACTATTATGACCAAAAGATACTTATGCGTATAAACAATACTTTCTCTGCTGGTTTGCCTATTGTTCATTCGAATGCAGAATTTTTCAACCTTAGTGAACTCAAACACTTTGGCAAGTATAACGTTGACATTAGTTGACGCAAAACTTTGTTCCTGTAAATTTTATGTCCTATGTATTTGTCAATGACGGCAGAAAGTTTCGAATTGGAAGATGCAACTGTGAAAGTATTGTACTACAAGAACAACTTCAACAACAATAGCTCAAGAACAACAAATGCAACAAATAGCTCAAGAATAAAAAAAATATTTTTTTTATTTTTATAAAAATGTACAGAATAGATGTTTCAGATTTTTATGACTTCCAAGCCTTCAGAAATATGTGTCCATTTAGAGACTATAACAAAGCAGTCGAGAATTTGAAACGTTTAGTCATTTATGTCGACTCTGCCCCAGAATGTTATGTCATGAAAGAATGGGATGTTGTCTTTAACAAACCAAGAGCAACAATAGTTTCAGAACAAGAATGTAGACAGAAACTTAAGAAAATAAAAGTCGTACAAGTTGGCATGAAGATGTTAGATGCTTGGGATATCTTATTGTCAAAGTTAGAAGATTTTCAGTTCGAGGTATAAAGTTCTATACACCTTCTCCAAACTTCTATTCTATCTTCACTGGATATAAATACGAACAAGTAGAATGGAAAGAAATATTATAGAAGCTTGGTTAGACCATGTCAAAGAAATTATATGCAATGGAAACGAAAAGGTTTATGAGTATATCTTATGTTGGTTTGCAAAACATCTTACAATATCCAAGTGCTAAAAATGAAACTGCTCTCATTATAATTGGAAAACAAGGAACAGGTAAGAACACTTTCTTTACAGATATCTTATGCAAACTGTTAGAGGGCTATTCGAATCCGAATATGACAAACTTAGAAAAACATCTGCGGTAAATTTAACTCTTCAATTGAGAATATGAAACTTATAGTTTGCAATGAACTTCAAAGTATAGATACAACAAAAGTTTTGAACTCAGATGCTTTGAAGAGTCTTATAACAGACAAAGTTGGAGTTGTTGAAAGAAAGTATAAAGACCAAAGAGTTTGGAAAATGTTGCAAAACTTCATTATGGTTTCAAACAATACTGTTCCGATGAAGTTAGAAAGTTCTGACAGAAGATATGTAGTTGTCAGAACGTCAGATTCTCATATGCAAGATACAGAATATTTTGACGACTTAGCAGAAACTTTGACACCTAACTTTACAACCACTTGTTCTCATATTTCATGACATTAGATATTTCAAAGTTCAATCCAAGACAAATTCCATATACCGAAGAGAGACAAACATTGTTAGAAGCAAACAAGAGTGTATATGAACTGTTCATAGATGAGACTAACTTTGAGTGTTTAGATGAAAGGTCATTGTACGATGAATATAAACAATATTGTCAAGAATATGGTTATATGGCAGCGTCTAAACGAACATTCTTGGCAAATGTCAAAAATCTTTTAGACATACAGAACGGCGTATATACAAAGAAAAATTTTTCTGAGTAAATTTAAAAAAAATATTTTTTTATCCGATAGAAAAGATGACGAAATATATTTCAGTCAACAAGTACATGACAGAAGTCAAAGAAGAACTAGACCCATTCGCTTATTTGAATGTTTACTTCTACCATTTTGAAAAGTCTTCATTCAGCAAAGTTTGGAACATCGAACCAGTTAAGTTTGCTATTGTGACTAAAAATGGTGCGAAATTTGAAGACTTAGACATAGAAGGTTTGTTAGCAGTCAAAGAAAATTTTGACAGAAGGTTCTCAAACCTTAAAGAAGGCAAAGCATACAAACTTGTTATACCTTATGAACCAAAGAAAGCAGACGACTATGAATATTATGAGTCTAAAGTTGTAGAAGTTCAAGGTAAATTGGGTAAAAAGATTTTAGAGTCTAAGCCAGTGTTTGCTCCTAAAGAGGAAGAGAACATTGACATTGACCCAGAAATGTTCTAAAAATAAAATTTTATTTTTACATGTCAAATTTTTTTTCTCTGGCTCTGGCTCTGGCTCTTTCTTCTCTTCTTCTACTTTCTTTTCTTTCTTCTCTCTCTTCTTCTTCTTCTCTGGTGGAGTTATGTCAAATTTGGCGCAACCATATTTATGTAAAAGTTCTTTGTCCTTTAATAGCTCTTCTATTCTGTTTTCTATTTCATCTTCAAGAACAGCGCATGTGTCTTCTTTGCATTCTAAGAACTTTTGTTGGACTTCATCTTTCCAAGAGGCGTCATCTCTGTCAACAAGTCTGTCATTGACAAACTTAAAGACTTCTCTGCCTAATGTTTTATGGTTCTTGTCATATTCCCAGAAACAGAACTTTAGAACAAATTCACCTTTCTTGTTTACACTATGTAAGATTTTATGGTCGACAGATGTTTTGCTGTCAAAAAGTTTGTCTCGAATATAGATAGCGAAATCGCTAGACATTTTCTAAAAGATAAAAATTTTAATTTTTCTAAAAATATGTTAGAAAAAAAGTTTGCTGACATTGACAAGAAATTTGAGAATGTTTTGAAGAAGAACAAGAAGAAATTAGAAAATGCTCAGATAAAGCCTATACATGACAAGTTCTTATTTGCTCAGAATGGTATAACAGGTCTAATTGCACCACCTGGGTCGGGTAAGACTTTCACTTATCTTAAAATGGCTGCACAACAACAAGAACTAGATGAGAAGAACCCATTCTATGAGTTAGTTGTCATTTGTAGTACTTCTGGTCAATTTGACCAAACCGTCAATTCGTTCAAAGATATTATAAAGAAGTCTAAGTTAGTATGTATAAAAGACTCTGAGTTGTTAGATTGGATAAAGAAGTACCAAAGAAGAGTTTTGAAGTATAATGCTATAAATGAGTATATAAATTCTAAGTTTAAAGACCCTAATGAGGAAATGCAGAGAATATTAGAGAAGAAACACTTCAGAAACAAACAGAAAGAGATAGAATACATTTCGAAGAAATTGCAATCTTACGATTGGAAGACTTACCCTCACAGATGTCTTCTTATCTTAGATGACTTTGCTTCTCATCCTTTGTTAAAGAATAGAGAACAAGATATGTGTCGAATTCTTAAGAAGCTCAGACACTTTAACATCTCAGTTGTCATTTGTGTACAGACAGCAAAGAGTTTAAGTAAGGATGTAAAGAGAATACTTACTGACATTATACTTTTCCCTGGATTGTCCGAAGACGATTTCATGGAACTTATGAAAGAGTCCATGGCAGGTAAGTTTGACAGACATGAACTATGGGAGAAGTACAAAGTCATACAAGACCCTCATACTTCTTTCAGAATTCATATCTACGCGAACAAAGTTCAAATTGTAAAAAGTCAAGCTTGAAAAATGTAAGTGTTTAGTCTTAGTAAGTCTGTTGTGGTGCTGGGGCTGTCGGTTCTTCTGGCTTTGGAAGGCATTCAGGAAGAGGAACGTCGGACATTGTCTTGAAACAATAAAAGACTTGTCTTGAAAAAGTAAAAGACTTGTCTTGAAACAATAAAAGACTTGTCTTGAAACAATAAAAGACTTGTCTTGAAAAAGTAAAAGACTTGTCTTGAAACAATAAAAGACTTGTCTTGAAAAAGTAAAAGACTTGTCTTGAAAAAGTAAAAGACTTGTCTTGAAAAAGTAAAAGACTTGTCTTGAAAAAGTAAAAGACTTGTCTTGAAAAAGTGAAAGACTTGTCTTGAAAAAGTACGGGTATCGTCTGAAATCAAGACCACTGTTCTCAAATTTGAGAACTTTACACCAAAAATTTCTTGAAAAATAACGGGTCTTGTCTTGAAAAAGTAAAAGACTTGTCTTGAAAAAGTAAAAGACTTGTCTTGAAAAAGTAAAAGACTTGTCTTGAAAAAGTAAAAGACTTGTCTTGAAAAAGTAAAAGACTTGTCTTGAAACAATAAAAGACTTGTCTTGAAAAAGTAAAAGACTTGTCTTGAAACAATGACCGACATAGACCCAGCAGATGAGGCAATTTACCTTATAGAGCTACCTGAGCCATCTTTGGTGTCAAGCTTGAAAAATAAATGGTTCATCTACTCTGCTTGTTTGAAGTTGTCAAAATACTCTGTTATTTTTTCTTTCAGTAGCGGCAAATCTTCTTTGAAGGTAAGTATTGTACAACCTTTCATATCATAGTGTGTTTGAGGTAAAGTATCTTGAACTATTTGTTTCACATCTTCATTCGGTGTCATTGAAATCGGTAAGTTTTCGCGATAGAACCAATTTCTGTCAGATTTGTAAATCTTAGCAAGGTCGTAAAAGCTTTTGTTGTTTCTTCTGACTAAATGCAACATAACCATATCTCTGTCTTCTTCATTTTCCATCTCTTCAGTGTAAATCATATACTTATAGTTCTTTTCCTTACCTTTTGGTACCGAACGTGGTATTCTTTTCTGAATGCTTTTGTCTTTTGCTTCAAGCTTGTTCTCTAGCTCTTCGCGTTCTTGTCTATGAAGTTCGTCAAGAAGTTTACAAACATACCATGAATAGCGAGCTGAAGCCCATTGTGCCACATTATTTACGAGAAGTCTATGAACATAATATCCTCTCAAACCATTTGGCAATTTTTCACGATTTTCATAGAGTTTTGGCGACTGGGGTTTTTTACTTACTCGCTGTTCTTCACTGTTTTCATAGAGTTTTGGCGAGTAAGATTTTTCTCGTAGTCGCTGTTCTTCACTGTTTTCAGAAAAAAGTATGTCTCGCTGTGCTTCGCTCAAAAGTTCTTGTGTGCTTTGGTTCCTAAACCAGTCTTGTGGTTTCTTAGTATCTGGAGCAAAACATGCTGTCAAAATACTTTGCATTTGGTACATGTCATCTTTGACCGAACGAATGAGACGGAGTTGTTTGTTAAACTGAACCCACTCATATTCTTCATTTATAGCTTCATGAACGATAGCAGTTGTTGTGTTCTCGGTTGTTGACATATCTGTCTTTACATACAAAATAAAAAAATAAAAAAAATAAAATTAGCGTTATTTTCTGACTTTCACAAAAGACCAAAAATAAACGCTTTACATGTATTTTTCAGCAACTTCGTCAAATAATTTTATAGCACTATCTATCTCATCTACTTCAAACGTTTCTTTACCTTTCGTGGGAGCACCATACATTTTCTCAAACTTTTCAAGCAGTTCTGTTTCAGCAGCTCTCATATCGTTAAAAACGCAACCTTAACTCTATTGACTATACTGTCATATCTTTGAGTTATATTAAATGTTCTTCCTATCTTATATCTCTTTGTATTGAAGTCCTTCGGTTTCTGAACAATGTAAAGTAAGCCTTCACTGCAACGTTCCGTATCGAATGAACCATATGTTATGAAATTATATCCAACAACTGGGTCAATCCAGAACAAAACTAGTGGTATAAGACTTTTGTCTATAAGATATGTTCTTGTTCCATAGAATCTTACCGATATCATAAGCTCAGGATTTTTTGTCAAAATTTTCTGAGTAGAAGCATTTCTAACCCAGTCGTGGGATGTTTTCTTTTCAGATAGTGTTAGAATGTCTGACAAGGAATATTTTTTGTATTTCTTTGAGTATCTTACGTTTAAATCACCAATTCTAACCATTTTGGTGTCATTGTCTATCTTTCTAACTGTTTCAAACTCAATGTTTGACATTTCCTGTTCTTACATACAAAATAAAAAAAAATATTTTAAAAAAACTAACTTTAATTTTATTTTGTATAAAAGATACAGTTATATCATGAAATTTGGTCATTTTTTTACGATTTTCATGTGTTTTAGGCGTTCCTCGGTTTTCCGCGGGTCGCAATTTTTTACGATTTTCGAATGGAATCTCTATCCTCGGTTTTCCGAGGGTAGCAAACATATGAGGAAATTCATGAAATTTGGTCATTTTTTTCAGCAAAAATAATGTTTATGTTAGAATGTTAGATCTAACATGTTTTCTAACATGTTTTCTAACATGGTCTAAAACTCTTGAATTTTCATGAAATTTCATACGGAATTCAATAAAAATATAATTTATGTTAGAATGTTAGATCTAACATGTTTTCTAACATGTTTTCTAACATAACTATTTACAAGCGTTTTACATGGTATATGTTGCGATGGTTCATGACTCTAAACAATTTCGTGGCTTCAATTTCTTCTGTCAGTACATCGAATGTTTTCACAATGCCGAAAGTTTCTTTATATTTCTTCTTGACGTCAGATAGAAGGAAATCGTTAGCGGTTGGATAGTTTTTGTTTAGAAATTCTAACATGTTCATTTTATCTTCTGCTGGTTTTTCTGCTTCTTTCTTTAAATCTGCATAGTCGTTTCGCATACGTTCTATCTCTTTGACGGAGTAGTTATATTTCCTCATTGCTGCTTTACATTTTGAACATTGCGGGTTCATTTTTGCGTTATATTCTGAAACCTTACCTGCAAGTATGACCAAGGCGTCAATTGCTCTCTTCATCTCGAACATAGCGGGTTTTATTTGTTCGTTCCATACCTTACCCCTACTATCTTTATCTCTTATTTCCCAAACACATTTTGCAACTAACGAAACAAAGTTGTCGTAGGTCTTAAATTCTTCGGATTTGTAAAGGTCAGAGATGTTCTTATATACCATGTCGCAATCTTTGTCCATAACCTTATGGTTGCAATGAAAACCAAGGAATTCATAATTTACCTTTCGTATGAACTTCTTTATTTCTACTGAGTCAGTTGCTTTGACTTCTATTTCATCGAATTCTGGAATAGTGAGTTTTTGTTGTTGGATTTCAGGAAGTTTAGGTAAATGGTCAATAATATCCTGCATTTCATAAAGATACTGTTCATTTGTTTCATCTTTCGCACTACAGTCTAAATTACTTGTTAAAAGTTCTTGCTTTATCTTCTGGATTTTTGTTTCGAAAGTATATGAAGAAGGAATGAAGCTTTTCATCTCTACTAACATTGAAGTTGGGTTCATGACTAACGAGTTTGGTGCTGTTGTTGCTAACATGTTCTTACAATAAAAATAAAAAATATTTTTTTTAAAAAACTAACTTTATTTTTTATGTTTTTTGTGAAAGTGTCAAAATTCATGAATTTCGAGAGTTTTCTACGATGTTAGAAAACGTGTTAGAAAACATGTTAGATCTAACATTCTAACATAAACATTATTTTTGGGTCTTTTACGCTCATTACGAAGAAGTCTTGACAAAACATTTACGAAGAAGAAGTCTTGACAAAACATTTACGAAGAAGTCTTGACAAATTCAAGAGTTTTGTGTGTTTTCTACGATGTTAGAAAAGAGGTTAGAAAACATGTTAGATCTAACATTCTAACATAAACATTATTTTTGTCGAAAAAAATGGTTCATTTACTCACAATATTTTTGTACAAAACGACCCCAAACTTTTAACTTCTTTTCTGCAGCTTCTAATGTTATCTTAGCGAGTTCATATTCTCTAAATTCTCTCTTTAAATCTTCTTGTTCCCATTGGTCTAGTTCGTATGGAGAATCTCTATAACCAGAACATATCTCACGTTCATGTTCTATTTGTTTTTCATGCATTTTTCTAACTTCTTCTTCGAACAAAGGTTTTGCATTCTCTACTGTATCTTCAAGTTCTTCTTCATCTAATTTCTCATGAACTTTCTTGTCTATGGAGTCCATAATTTTTCCAACTGCTATGCAATATTTTGGAGAAGCCCACATTGCAATATAGTTTACGAGTCTTGGGTCTACATACATTCCTCTAACCTGTTTGATTTCATCGGGAATTCCTGCATTAACATTGTATAAAAAGCACCCCGCGGAATTCCGCGGGTTGGTATATTCTTCACAAAATGCCTTAAAATACTCTTCCCAGGACTTATTTTCCAACAACCTTCTAAAGTCTTTCCTAAACTGCTGACACATATTTGTTGCATTTATATAACCATCCTTGTCTCTACGTAAGACTTCAATACCGTTGTAAGTGCCTTTTGTGAATGTTCGCCATTAGATTTGTTCGTGAACGTTTTTGCTTCGACTGTCATACTGTTCTTACAATAAAAATAAAAAATATTTTTTGGTGGTACGTCGGACATTCGTTTGTGGCTTAACCGTCGGACATTCGTTTGTGGCTTAACCGTCGGACCACAACGATAAAAATCTCATTTTAACTCACTTTTTCTATCTTAAGGAAATTCATGAAAATTCACCTGTTGAATTTTGTATAAAAAGCACCCCGCGGAATTCCGCGGGGTGGTATATTCTTCACAAAATGCTTGTTTTGAGGTCGAGCCATTTTTGGCTCCACCTCTTTTTTCAATACTTTTTCAGCACTTTTCCGTAGTTATATATGAAAGACAATTCGAGATAAAATTTCTTCATCTGATATAGTCCTACCAGCGTTTGTAAAGATATAGTCTAACGGTTTTGTATCTGCTACTTTTGTTCTTTGTTTTTCAACCTGAAGCATTTAATATATGTAAAAATATACTGTTTTAAAATGGTATGCCTTTTCATGCAATTTTTTACTTCATGCAATGTTTTATTTCTGTGCCGTCTTCAAGTATACCCCAGTACTTACGCTTGGAGAGAACATGAACTTCGGAAAATACCTTGTCTAGCTTAAAACAGCCCATCTTTTCACCGACCATTCCCATTTCAATGAGTTTGTTATAGCCTTCTTCGTTCGTCATGAGTGCGTCGATGTTCTCATAGTAAACCACAATTTTGGATTTGACCTCGGAGAAAAATTTGTTGTAGTTGTCAAGGACTGCCTTTGCGAACTGAGGGTAGGACCAATGTTCGACAATAGGTTTTACTGTGGTTACTAAGCCACTTTGACCTTGAGTGAATTCGTACTTCAAAACAAAAGGAGAAAACCTTTCAACAAAGTTGTCGACCTTCTCATAATGTTTACTCTTCATCTCTTGAGGTTTCTTAATGGAATATCCCCATGTCGAATTCATAAGCAATTTGAGTGTCATTGCAAGTTTGGGGTTTGAAGCTTTCCTAATATCATACAGTTGTTGTATGACTTTTCCAACTGTATAGTTCCTTCCTGGGAACTCACCGTCTTCGTTTGGAATTCCAGTCGGGATATATTGGACAAACCTCATGTATGCAGCGTTAAGGTCGACATAGTATATCTTTTCATATGAGTCGAACTTGTCGCAACCAATTGGTCCAGTTTGTGGAAATTCAAGTGAGTCTCTTATCTTCTGAGAAACTTCTCCTGTTATCTCATAAACATCGTCGAAGCAACCTGTTTCATATAAAACCTTCTGACCTAACTCAGATGCTCTCCAATACAATTTGACGTCAATTGGATGTCTCAATGGAAGTTTGTTTATAGCATCTTGAAGTTCTTGCAACCTCATTGGAAGTTCTTCTGGTTCAGGTTGGTATCCGAACAATCCAACTCCTTTTGGAATTGTGTACTTCTTTTGTACTAGAACTTTGTCTGGAACAACTTTTGGTCTTGCTAACAATGAAAAGTTTGTTTCATCTTTTGGTACAAAAGTTTCTGTCAGCTTGTCATCTGGAATTGGTTCCAACAAACCTTTCTCGAAAAGAATGTTAACAGCTCTGACAATGTTGCACTTACCTTTTCCGAACATAAGACTTTCGTTCAACATGAAGTGGTTGTGGAAAATTACAATCTTCAACCATGGTAAGTCTTTGTCAACAACATAGTCGTCATGTGAAGAACCTTTAGCTGTAGGTATGTTGACTCGGATATTGACATTTGCCAACGGTGCAATTTTTGACAATTGACCTCTGAGAATGTACCTTGTCTTCACACATGACTCAAGATACTTCATCTTCTCATCTGTAACAAGACCAGAGTTCCTGAGACATGTAAGAATACAAGGTTCATTGACAATTGTTTCAATTGAATTGTAAATTCCATACCTTGTCAAGTCAATGTCAGACTTATTTATGAACGGGAAGTATCCAGCATGTTGTCTGACTGCTTGAGGGTTAGGTTGGTACCATTCAAATTTTACACTTGCAATTCCTTCAATTGCATTCAAAATGTCTGAGTCGGAGTCAACCATTTGTTCTCTCTTTGTAGTCTTGAAAGCGTCAAGAAGTTGTGCGGCTGTTGTGACATTGCCATGTGCATAGTAAATATGACCATCTAAATCTGTTACGGTTAGTCTGAGATTGTATCCTTTCTTATTTCCGTCTTGTATGGCAGCAAGTACACCCATGAAGCCTTCTTTGTTCTTTCCTTCGTCAAAGTTTACTGTAAAGGTTCGACCAGATGTAATTTGACTTCTAACTTCACGATACTTTTCATATGCATATCTTGTTCTTTCCATGGGAGCATGTGCGTCTTCACCTTTTCCTTTTTTCCTTCTCAAAGGATGCAATTGTTCGTCATGTTTCCAGTAGAATCTGGCAAAGCCGTCGTGTCCTTCAACTTGAGGCTCACTAACATCGAAAGGCATGTCCATAAGACGTTCTTCTTCTAACCTCTCTAATCTGTTTGGATAATTTGCGCGTGCTGTTTCTAAGTCCATTTCATAGCGAAGACCAGACAATTTGTCATAGACTTTTATGGGTCTTCCCTTCCTATATTTAAACTTCTTTGAAACTCTCCAACCATATCTTTCTAACTCTGCTTTTATTCTAGCAGACCTTCTATCCATTCTATACGGGGGCATTTTTATAAAAATAAAAAAATGTTTTTTTCTTTACTTTACGTAACCACCGGCTGCCATAAGTCTTTGACGCCAACCCATACCAGCTAATGAAGGTTGACTTGGTTTAGTTTGGAAACTAAACTTTGGTTTTGGTTTATCTTCAGTTTTTGGTTTTTCTTCTTCTATCGGTTTTTCGTCACTTTTCGGTTCCTCTGACTTTACTTCACTTGCAGGTATGGTTGTGTCGTCAACATCTTCATAAATATCATATGCCATCTGTTTTTGTTTTCCTTTCAACTTTTTGTGTTTGTTGTAAAGTTTAGAATATTTCGACTCTAAGTCAATGAGATGTTCTATAATGAACTGTTGGTCAGTGAAGAATACCTTCCCATCTGTTGTCTCATAAACTCCTTCAGACTTCAATATTTTATTTGTGAGAGTCTGTTTCTTTTTTGAGATACTAGCCGTTCCATTTCTATGAAAAGTGACTTTGTAGTTAGGGTTTGTATTTCCAGACCTGGCACTTTCTATTATTGAATTTTTCTCTTCATCTGTAAGTTCTTTGACAGGTTTTGACAATGGTTCTGAACTTTTTGTTTGTGGTGTCAAATCTACCGTTTCAACTTCTTCGGTCATTTCATCTCAGTAAAAATTTTAGTTTGTTTTGTTTTCAACTGGTTGTTTAGGTTTTTTAAGTCGGTCTAAAACTTCCTGAGGTATAGGAAGAACTTGACAAACACGTGGTTGTGTAACTGCTGGAAGTCGACAAATCCATCTTGAACCCATTTGTCTCAATGCTGTATTGTTCATTTCATCTCAGTAAAAAATTTTACATTCCCCACGTTTGAGGCGGTTGCGGTTGGTTGTTGTTTACCCACTGTTGTGCATGGTTATATCCTCTGTTAAAGAATCTTTCACCTTGGTCCATATAGTGTCCTGCTTGGTTATAGTAGTCATTTGCTTTGTTATAATAGTTTCCTGCTTGTCTTCCTACATTGTCCATCCATCCTTGAACTTTTCCTCTTGTTTCAGGATTTGGAATAAGATTTGCTGCATCTCGTGCTACATCCCAACCTTTCTGTACAGTTTGTATAATAGGTTGTGCTTTCTCTTTAAGTATACCTAATGTACTCAAAATCTTCCTTCCAACTCCAAATACACCTCTGGCTATTGTTCCCACTGCGGGTAAAAATCTGGATGCAACTCCTGCTAATGCGCCAAATAAACCCATTTCTTATAGGATAAAAATGACGAATCCAAACAAGGACCCCTATGTTTCTAAGGCAACAAAGAAAGCACTCATGATAAAAATCTTTAGTTCAACACCAAATGCTTGGTTTATGGATATCTTGGAAAACATTCCGAGAGTTAGAACAGATGGACCTCCATACTGGTTAATATTTGTCGGTCAAAACACAAGATACTGTGAAGCCATACCATTATGGTCCAAAAATATTTTAGATGTGAAAACTGCTTTGACAATATTTGTTGACAAATACCATCCAACAAAACTGACATCTGACTGTGAAAGTTCTTTCAAATCAGACGATATTAAAAACTATCTGCGTTCAAAAAATGTAAACCAATATTTCATTGTCGACCAAAACCATTCTGCTCTTGGTGTCATTGACAGTTGTATAAAAATCTTAAGAGATTTAAATCAACCACAAGGTGGTGAGGTAGATGAAATGTCATATGACGACAAATATAGACACTTCTCCATGGCAAAGATGAGACAAGTTTTAAATATTTACAATAGCCGTAAACAAAAAGGTTTGGGAAACCATTCCCCGAAGAAATGAAAAACAACCCTGACTTAGAGAAAGACTATATTTTAATAGTTTAGTCAAAAGAGACAAACAAGAAAGAATGCCAGGCTTCAAACTTAAGAAAGGTGACAAAGTAAAAATAGAAATACCTAAACGCGACCCATATGAAAATACTATTGACTATGACAACAATGGGAACTCGACAGGTACTCATATTCGTGTTCGTAAAAATAGAAGAAAGTATACAAGAGAATATTATGAAGTTTTAGGCAAACATGGCAAAATGTACAGACTGCAAGCAGAAGATAAAACTACTATTGTCAGACCTCGTTTCAAACTTGTTAAGGTTCAAGGTGGTATACTTTCAAAGACAGTTCCTAACAAATATAAGACAACTCCTGACGAATATGCTAAAGAAGTTGAAAATGACGACTAAGCATTTCTATACCATGCGTAAACTGTCATGTAAGGTGGCATGTAGTCTTTACTTTGTCCCGTTGTTTGCTATCCTGTAACGCGATGTGTATGGTTTCCTTCTCCCTGAGTGTCACTCCAGTAACAATTTATAGCAAACTTAACCTCGTCTTTAACATCATATCCTTTACCTTTTGTCATTCCTGACCAATCCCAATATCTATGCTTATGCCAACCTGCTTGAGATGTACTTAAATCTATGTAGTGACTGTGTGCAGGTAAATTTTCACCTGAAATCGTTTTACTTCCACCTGTTTCCTTTGAAGAGTTTGCACAATACAAAAACCTGTCGACTATTTGAGTCCAAGTTCCAAAACCAAGTACTACTTCTGGTCTGGTAGAGTTCATTGACGTATAAATAGAGCCTATAGGATATAATGTTTGAAGTATTTCTGTCTTTAATGTTTGAAGCTCTGTTTTGTCTGCTTTTTTATATAACTTTTCTTCAAGTTCATTTACGTCAGAGATGCTATGTCTATGATATTTTTGTGGGTATGTTCCTTCTGTCCATGTGAAAATATACTCTTTTGTTGCATCTACATATCCTTTTATCCATGTCGAGTCTGCTTTTGTATTCCTTAACTCTGTAACACCTTTCTCAAGCTCTTTCAACTGTTGTCCATCTTCCATTAAACCTCTGGTATGACTTGAAACCGTTTGTGTCAACATATCTACAGTTTCTTTGTCGGCTTTAAGGTCTAAACATCCTGAAACCCACCCTGTATTGGCTTTACCTTCTAAAATCTTCGATGTCCGTTCATGGTACCATTCAACCATTTTTTTAATTTCTTCATCTTTTTCATCCACATATTCCTTATCTGCCTTCTTATCTAATGCACTAGCCACATATGCTAACTCATCGTTAACATATGTTTTATCCGCTTTGTTGTCAACATCTGCTTTTGTTGCATATGTTGCATCTGCTCTGTCATGTTCTTCTTGAACTTTTTCAATGACATACTCTTTGTCAGCTTTGTTGTCAACATCTGCCTTCAAAAGAAGTTCATCTATAGGTTTCTCGTTTAAAGTTCCTTTTGTTGGATTTATACAAACAGTATGGTTCTTACTGTCTTGAAATAGAAACTCATCTGTCATTGGGTTTAATGTCAGTTTTAAGTTTCCTTCTTTCAATGACTCAGATATCTTAGAATAGTTTGAAAAGTTTGTTGTGTTCTTATTTAGAGCTTGCATAATGAGTTGTCGGTTGTGTTGTATTTCTCTCATAGACGCTGTTTCATTTGACATTTTTATTCTAGATAAAATATGCTTCCAATAGAAAAAGAAAATTCAAGAGTTGCTACAACTAAACCATTAGATGAACTTTTTACTAATGTCGGTCAAAAGTTTGAGACAGAGACCGTAAAGCATGAAGGCTATCGTTTTGACTACCCATTAAGATGGCTAAGAGACCCATCTGTCACAAAAGCTATTGGCTTTCGTAGAATGAAGTTTGTGTCTGTAGAAGATAAAAGTTTTCCATTTATTGTAAGGTTTCATATAGATTATATATCTGAAGGGAAACGAAAAATGTGGGAAGAAATTGAGCTAATACAAGTTGACCTTTCATCTTCTCTACAGACTGCGTTAAAAAATATAGAAGATAAAATAAATTCATGTTATGCAAAATATGCTGATGAATATGCAAATACCGAGAGCACACTTTATGTGAGAATTGTATATGACAAACAAAATTCACAAGTGTCATTTCAAATCTACGAAGACAATCCAAAGAAAGACGAACAAATATATACAGAATTCACTGCAATGTCATGGTATTATTTGCAAAGAATGTTAAATCAGAAAGTCAAACTTCCTTTAGCAAATATTTACAGTCGATATGCAAGAGATGAACCATATTTATTTAAAGATGTTTTCGACCCAGCTGCTATTATTGTTCATGCTTCATTTTCTGGCGCTCAAAACTCTTTCTTATGCTTGGCAAATGACTTTTACGAAAAACCTACAAAGTTATACGAACCACCAAGTGGAAGTATTTCAGACTTTCAAGTATGGTTTACTACAGATGGAAGAAAAAGAATAATTCCATTATACCATGCGTTTTACTTAGAACTTAGTTTCATATACAACTACTATCGAACGATAAAAATATAATTTTTTAATACGGTTGAGGTGTTGGATTTGGTTGCCAACTAGACTGTGGTGCAGGTTCAGGCTGTTGTATAACAGGAGCTTGCTCTTCTGGTTCAGGGTCTTTGGGTATAATACCAACGAACTGACCTACTCTTTTACCAATATTTTTGACACCGTTCCAAATTCCTCTTCCTACGGTTTTTATTCCATTCCATATACCTCTTCCAACATTTCGAAAGAAGTTTCCTATCTTACTGAAGAAACCCATTTTACTATATGTAAAAATCTAATGTCCGCCTAGTCTCTTACGTTTCCTGTTGAGTTCCATAGCATTCTTTAACTGGAGCTCATACATTCTGTTTCTCCTCTGGTAGAAAACATATTCTGGGTCAACTCCTGTGTTCGCGTCATCTGCATAAAGTTGTTTATATCCCACTTCAGGGTTTGTATAAAACTCTTTCCATCTCATATTTGCATACCATGGTGGTAAGCCTAACGCAGCGTCATTTGACATGGCAGTTTGCATTTGTACATCTGTTGGCACTTGACCATAGTTTGCCATTGCAGTTTGTATTCTAACTTCATTTGGAATATTCTCTGGGTTTGGTTGTCCAGGTTGCTGTGCATTCGCTAAGTTCTGTGCGTCCATTTAATATTAGATAAAAATATCTCTTACGAGTACATATGCTGAACATTTGCAGACATTGGTTCATCTTCATATTCTCTATATCTTTCTGCCACGTCAAATAAGTAAATGACACAATGGAAAAAACCTAAAACAAGTAGTCCTATTTCAAACCACATTTACTTACCAATAAAATTTCTTTATTGTGACACTTTTTCCGGTTTATAGGACCTCTCTCATATTCTATCTTATCGTATCTAAAATCATAGTCATGTATGTCCTCTAACCATCTCATGACACTTTCCAAACCACTTTTATCGGATGTAAAGTAAAAGCATGGATGGTTATGTAAAACGTCTAAAGTTTCTAAAGAGTCTCTCAAAGTCCAGTCTACTTGGTATTGAAAATCATATGTGTTATAGAACGGCGGGTCTACTATAAAGAAAACATTTTCCTTGTCTTTATATTTTTCATACAACTCTGTCCAACGACATCTCACAAACTCTATACCCTCAGTATATTTTTCTATGTTCTCTTTGAAAACCTTTGTATAGTTAAGATATAAAACTTTTGACATAAGTGTTTCAATGTCATGAACTCTTATAGAACCACTATACAATAGTCTAGAAGATATACTATCCCAGTCAATATACTCTGCTTTTTTCAAAACCTCTCTGACAGTATTTTTCTTATCTAATGGTATACGTTCCATCTTACCTATAGGTATCTTTTCTTTTAACTCTTTCAATATTTTGTTTGTGTCTGGTATATGTTTGAGACGGTTCATATAGTTGTCGAAGTCATTGCATATAATCTTTGAGTCAGGAAATACAGTATGGCACAAATGAGATATATAGAAACTTCCACCGAACAAATCTACAAATGTTAGACCATTCGGTAGTTTCTTAAGTTCTCTCAATAGAATATCTTTACATCTACTCTTATTTCCAAAGAAGGGTAACGGTGGTTTTGTAAAATTCATTTTATATATATAATAAAAATGTTTTTACCCGAAAAGTGACAGAAAAGTGACAAAACATGTACGAAGAAGTCTTGAAAATTCAAGAGGGTAGAAAAGAGGTTAGAAAAGAGGTTATATCTAACCTTCTACCCTAAACATTATTTTTGTCTGATTTTACGAAGAAGTCTTGACAAAACATGAAAACATATATAATTTGTGAAAAGCTCCTGGAAGACCCGTATATAAGAACTTCATTTATACTAAACATCTTCGGGGCTAGAGGGCACGAAGTGCCTGGAAGCCCCACTACCTTTTTTTTTTTTTTTTTTTTTTTTTTTTATATCATAGAAAATAAAGTTTGATAATCAGATGTGAATTGAATTTGAAAAGATTTTTTGGAATTCAGTATTTTTGCATGCTAAGTAGTGTCAACGATAGAAATTGAGAGCCTATTAATCGTCGAGGAAGTACGATTATTTTTTGGGCGAAAAAGTATCTTAAAATATGATTATTAATATGCTTTTAAAATAAAAAATTTGAAAGTTAATTTGAGATTCTCATATAATTTTTTGAATGAAAAAAATAAATATAGTCTATATGAGTTTTTGAATAATCACACTTGAGATATATCTAAAAAATAATTAAAAAAATAGAGTTTGAGAACACTTTTCAAGGTGTAATGAAAAGTGTGATATAGAAAATAATTATAGATATTTTAATTTTATATATTGTGCTAAGCATTATATTAAATTTTTAGGAAAAACACTTTTCATAAGTATTCAATATTTGAAAATACGCTCCAAAAAAGAATAGATTCTTTTATATTCGCTTATATAAAAGGAGACTCTCTATCAGATGCGAATGCCTGAATTCAGCACCTCTGATAGAGAGTTTCCTCTTATATAAGCAAATCTTTTTCATTCGTTTTTGTTAATATAAAAACATCAAAATCTACCAATATGAGAAATTAAACCCTGCGAGGCACCAGTCTAGAACTGGCACTTCGCAGGGTTGAATTTCTCTTGACAAAATACAATAATCAAATGCTCCAAAGTTTTCAAATTTTTATTAGGAATAGGAGCCTACAAAGCACTGATTATATATCAGTGCCTGGTAGGCTCCTATTCCTTCTCTAAATGGGAGAAACTTTGTTTGAATAAGATAACATGCGAACAAAGTTTCTCCCATTTAGAGTGGGATTTGGAGGGTGGGAGGTACATAGATAGACTATGTATCTCTCACCCTCCAATTCCCTCGGGAAAGTTCGAAAACTCGGTCGCAATCAGATGAATTGCGACCGAGTTTTCGAACTTTCTATTAGGAATAGGAGCCTACAAAGCACTGATTATATATCAGTGCCTGGTAGGCTCCTATTCCTTCTCTGAAGCTGGGAAATTTTGTCTGAATAGTTTAACATTTGACAAAATTTCCCAGCTTCAGAGAAGGAATTGGAGGGTGAGAGGCATATAGGCATACTATATACCTCTCACCCTTCAATTCCCTCGGGAAAGTTCGAAAACTCGGTCGCAATCAGATGCAATTGCGACCGAGTTTTCGAACTTTCTATTAGGAATAGGAGCCTACAAAGCACTGATTATATATCAGTGCCTGGTAGGCTCCTATTCCTTCTCTAAATGGGAGAAACTTTGTTTGAATAAGATAACATGCGAACAAAGTTTCTCCCATTTAGAGTGGGATTTGGAGGGTGAGAGGCATATAGATACTATGATCTCACCCTCAATTCCCTCGGGAAAGTTCGAAAACTTTGGTGCAATCAGCAACGATTGCACCAAAGTTTTTGCGTTTAATTGAAGGAATTGCTCTTTATGATATATACAGTTACAATGCATATATCATAAGGAGCAATTCCTTCCAGATATCTGGCAAACTTGCTCGCAATGGTTCACAATTGCGAACAAGTTTTGTCATTTGTCAAGAGAAATTAAACCCTGCGAAGCGCCAGTTCTAGACTGGCACCTCGCAGGGTTTAATTTCTCATATTGGTAGCTTTTTATGTTTTTATATTAACAATAACTCATGAAAAAGATCCGCTTATATAAGAGGAAACTCTCTATCAGAGGTGCTGAATTCATGCATTCGCATCTGATAGAGAGTTTCCTTTTATATAAGCAAATATAAGAGAATCTATTTTTTTTGGACCGTATTCTCAAATATTGAATACTTATGAAAAGTGTTTTTTTCTAAAAATCTCAGAATATATTTACAATAGTAAAATAAATAAGATATTTAAATTTATTTTTAAATGCTTTTTTTTATATGAGATTCTCAAAAGTTATATCAAAAGTCTGTTTTTTCTAAAATCTAATATCATAATCTATTTCTCATTTTAAGTACATCTTAATTCATTTTATTTTCTATATTTTTTCAATATTTTTGAGGGAATTGTGTTGCTTCCCCGACAATAAAATTGAGAGGTTTACACATTGACACTACTTAGCATGCAACAGTATCACTTTATATGGTGGTTAAGCTATATTTATTCAGGTTAAAATTATTTAGATGTATTCAAATATTGAATTAATATTCAAAAATAATTTTGATGTTTTATAAAATAACCCTTAAATATTAACCGTACGTGATAATCCGATAATTTTAAGAATTGAGTATTTACATTTTTAATTGAAATTTAAATTACAGGCTTTTCTGTTATTTCTCTACAATGGAAGGAGGAGATATGCTACTAATTGATTATAAATTCATGCAAGGTAGCGAAAGAGATCTTTTCACTGCTGATTCTCATCCGATATCTTCTCTTTCAGCAATTTTGATTCTTTTCTGTATGATGACTGGAGATGACGCAAATTATTTCGATAGCATATATCAAAACGGTATTGTCAATGTCCTTACTATTGCACTTTTTTCAATGCTCATTAATATTCTTTCTACACACATTTTTGTCCGAACCTGGAGATTTAATTTTGGACTTCAGTATGCCGATGTTGTTCAAGATATATTCAATGGTGGGAAAACAATTACAAGAATAATCTTTATCATTGCTCTGGTTTATACAGGTTTGGTCATTCAACAATGTGCTGAATACAATATCAGGTCAATTGTAGCACCACATCTCAAGAACTCATATCTAACAAACAGTAATATCATGAATTATGTTATTATTCCTCTGTTTATTCTACCGTTTATGCTTGTCAAAAGATTTGCAAGTCTTAGATACTATCTAATGTTAGGAAACATTGGAGTTCTAGTTGTTCTTGTTGTGTCAATATATTTTTTTGTAAAATGCTACAAAGAAAATGGATTTGATCCTCAAAAACAATTTGTTATGATATCTAAAAGCTTTTGGGGTTGCTATGATATATTCTCTGGATTTTCATCCTTATTTTGGGGACAACCATTTCTTTGCGCAATAGCTTCGACATTACCAAAGACGTCACAAAAATCAGTTATTGCAACATCTGTCAATGCCACAATCATAGTTTTTATAGTTAATTTAGCAATATCCTTATTCATTCACTTTACATTTTGGGGAACAGTTGGTAATGATGATGCATTAGCATATTATGATACTTCTAATATAGCTTCTATCATTGGATTAATAGGATCATTTTTCAACAATGTTATTACAACATGCGGCTACCTTTATGTAGCTTCAAACGAATTAATTCAATTATTCTTTTCGCAAGCTTCAACATTTACAAGATTTTTCTCTTCTATAATTATTTATTTGTTCTGTTGCCTACTTGCAACCTATTATGTCGCACCTTATTCGAAATATTTTGATATTATAGGAAAAACCTGTTATTTAATCATAGCATATTATATTCCTCCAATTGTTTATCTTAAAGCATTTAGGGTTAAGAGTGGATGGGGAATTTTATCGATAATTTATTTGTTATTTATAATATGTTATACAGGCGCCCGTTATTATGACCTTTTAGAAAGATAATAAAAATGTGTTGATTGGTTGTCATATAATAATTGAAATACATTTTTATCAAAGCAATATTTTATTCAAATTTATTCACTGGTGGTTACTTTTCTAAATTATATCTTTGTGATAGCTATAAAAGATAAATGAAATGTTTTTACCTCAAAATATCTATAAATTTCTAAAAATTACAATAACATTGATTTTTTATTAGAAAAAACATAAACAAAATAATAGCGTATTAAGTGTTAGCAGGAACTCCTCCACTATTTGGAAAACCGAATAAATCATAAAAAATTAAAGCATGAACAGAAAGGACAAAAGGTGTCACAAACACTAAAGGGATGCACACGTATATGAGGAGGGATGAAATAAGAATGCTCGTAAAATAATTTGATTTTGTTGAAATAATTAAACTCCATAAAAAGCCATTAATAATTCCTATGTTTCTGTCTTCAATAAAAAACAGTCTTGTAAAGAAAAACATGAAATTATTCAAAAGTCCAATTAAGATGCAAATAAAACCTTTGATTGATGAAACTGAAAACATCTCCAGTCCGAACATAAATGGTATGTTCAATGCTAAATCGGATAATATCATTGCAGTGATGAATTTAAAAGTAAATATTTTCTTTGAGCCTAAGATATCTGATAAAAATATCTTATGATCCTTTCTCTTAGTGCAATTGTTAACAACGTATAAGATTATTGATGTAACAAATGAGTTCCAAATTCTTGTTGGCCAAGATTTTGATAAAATATACAAATAATGATAATTAATGAGATCTGGCTCCGAACTTAAGTATTTAAATGCCAATATTAATAATGAATTTCCTAAGAGTAATGAAATGAAATAAAAAATTAATAAAATTGCAAAGCTGAAGACATTATCTTTGAGAATAGTATAAGAACGTGAAAATTTTGATTGCAAGTCCAAGTAATCTGATGAAAAATACCGCTCTTGTCTCCAAATCCGTAAAGTTCTTTCAGCTTCAACAATCATTTATTTTTTATGAATGGAAAAATCATTTATTGGATACAAATGGAAAATGGCCACAAGTGAGTCTGTGTTAGAAATTTTGGGCAACTATTTGCAGAATTAAGGACAATTTTCTTTTTATTTTAAATTTGCATTGAAGATATATTTTGATGATCATCATAGATATATTTCCAATAATTATAGATATTTGTCGATTTAAATTGTGATGAAAAGCGCATTTATAATTATAAATTAAATTTTGCTCTTAGATAATTACAATTTTTTATATAATATTGTCAAAACAATATATTCATTAATTTTGAAGTATTATAATTATTAATATACACAGCATAAAAATACAAATGGGGAGAAGCTTCCTAAACTTTTTAATCCCATAAATATGGTCATTATCTGGAATAAAGAGTTAAGTGTCATATGTCACTTTTTGTACTAAGGAAACATCGACTTTATGCGTTATGACTTTTCGATGAGGAAACAAGTGTTCACGTATTATAAACTTCCTTATCCCAATAAACCGACCCTAAACATAATTAATTTTAAGCATTATAATGGTCTCTTTTCTATGATAACCAAATCAATTTGGTTATCATAGAAAAGCACCAAAAACTGGAATAGGAATAGCCGCGTTAAAACAGGAATAGGCAATATGGAAACAAGGGTAGACTCAAACTCATACTCAAGGCAAGACTGATACAAGAATTACAACAAAATTTTACAAAATCTATTATTTATCTCAATTTAATGGCAGGTTTTAGTACCCGAAGAGTTTGCATTCTACTTTTTGCTCTTATTTTACAAAAATATTCTAAAAATTTGTAACTTCTTTTATAATATAATACTTTTTTTCAAATTTACTTTCCAAACGTTAATGTCTTGTTACGGCTATATCTTTGTACGGAGAAATAAAGAAATTTTATTATGCTATTATATTATTTTTTTTAAATCAATATCTAATCAATAGTAAGTTAGATTTTTTATTAAAAGAGCAAATAAAGATACGATCGAGCAATAGTTTATTTTAAATCTCAATATTATAAAATAAATGTTCAAAATTTTTAAGTAATAATACTAAATACTTAAATAAGTAAAAGCACACAAGAAAAATATTCACTAACTTAAGAAAAAATCATATATTTAGAGAATTATCCCTTATAATAAGATTAAAAAAAATTAAACTGTTTTCAATCATCATCATCACCAGCTCCATAGAACTTGTGTTTGCGATAGATGACACATTTTGCAAGCCATTTGACACCACCAAGATATGACCACAAATCGCTGCCAACATCTCCACCTTGAAGACCTTTGATCAAACCATCAGGAACAATGTAAGTAATTTCATCGTCGAGCATGAACCAAACTCTTCCTTTGTTGACGAAGGCAACGAAATGACCTTGATGATAAGCAATAATGGAATGTATCTTAAATACATACGTTCCATCACTGAGTTGAGTTTTGTAGTTCTTCTTGATCTCAAATTTGTCAAAGAAGACATTTGGATCAGACCAATTCCTCTGAACGTCGACCCAGAGGAATGTTGAGATTTCATTGATATGAGAATCATCTGTGCACATTTGTTTAATTCCTTGATCAATACCTGCTGCACCAAGAGGAATGTGAAGCGAAACCGAATAGAAGCTTTCATCAGGAGTCTCAGTTTGATATTGGAATGTAACGGCAATATCTGGTTTGTTTGCTGATTCCGTAACATCATGTACAATCTTTTGAAATGTGTCATCGGCATCTTGCTGCTGGAAGTATTGCTTGCCGAGTGTTGTGATGAATTGTGAGCATGAAATTGTGTATTCCTTGTGGCGGTAGTGCAACATCTGATCATAAATTTCGGCAAGTGCTTTCACTGGCGTATATTCGACATCTCCCAAATGCTCCATTACATCTTTTCTGAAAGTATTTACGTAGAACAAAACTTGCAAAACGGCATTGACATGGCAGGTAGCTCCCTCATTATGTAATCCTGGAATTGACATTTTTGTTTCGATGTTGTAGATTGCATTTTGTGTTCTTTTAACAAGTATCTTATCAATCTTTTCATATCCAGCTAGTGGAGATGGAATCTTCATTGGAGTTTCTGGAGTTTGGAGATAAAGATCTTTTGGAACACATCTTGGCTTTGGCATTGGGCTTCCTGAACCATTTGGTTCTGGTGTTGCTGCAGCTTCTTTTTCATCTTTTGGAGTGCAAGGAAAATCGCAGTTATCCTTCTCACTGAGAGGTGTGGAATCGATGTGATAGTTATCTAAAGCAAACAATCCTTGAACAATAAGTGGAAGATTGCCTTTTTCACCACGATATCCTATTGCCAAGACACTCCAATTACTTTTATCGCGTGCAAAGCGGCGTTCGACAATTTGGCGATCATGTGCAATCGCATTATTGCGTTTTGTAACTTCTTCGTCATCACCTCTTTGCATAATGACGGCTGTTGGATGGTATTTCTGAATACCGATGTAACCTCTATCTGCAAGAAGTCCTAATGCAACAGATTCAACTCCACGTTGGACATGTAAAAAATCTGAAGCTCCTGATAAATCAAATACTTTCTTATCGTGAACTGAAGCTAAAAAACTTGTATTCATGTGAATTACCTGTCCTAAAGGATTAACAAGAACTTGAACCTTCATACCATTGCAATGGTTTTTAGCATCCCATGAACTTTTACGCTCAGCAAGATCAAGAGGAACGGTAAAAGGAATAGTAGAGCTATCAACTGCAGCAACACATGTTGGAAAGTTATCGAACTCCTTGTCACAGGGAGAATATTGTTTTGGAATGAATTCAGCAATGAAAATTGGGAACATCCTGTTTGTTGTTTTGTTAATGATTTTGCTGAGGTAACTCTGTTTCAAACTAACAATTCCTGACATTTTTTGCAATGGAAGATAAGTGCAATAGTAAGTTAATGTTAGGAATAACGCATCTAATGGATCACAACCGTTTTTCCGACCGCGTCTGGATGAAAACTCATGCTCGCGAACAACATCAACTAAATACAAGAGTTGATCCAAAGAAAAGTTACAAAGGTCTTTGACATTTAAGATTGGGTGTGCCTCAAGGAATTTTTGTAAGCTAAACTTTCTGACAACTTTAAATTCTTCGGCATTAGCTGGTGCTTGATTTTCATCTTCACTTGCGGGCTCTGATTCATCAAGATAAGCTAAGTGCATTTGCATTCTCACGATTTCCTTGGATCGGGTTTTGGACTTCTGGATATCATCCAAGAACTCGGAATCATCCTTGTACTCCATTAATGAAAGTGATATGAACATTTCTTCTAAGAGTTTTCATTCAATTCATGTTTTTAAGAAGTTAGTGAATTAATTTTCATATCTCAGAAATTCGAAAAATAGTTGTTTAACACAAAAATTGATCAAATGCTTCTCTAATTATCTAAATAGCTAAAATTGTAAATTCAAGATATTTGACACAAATTCAATTTTGACGGTTTGAAACAGTGCGTTTATTCTTCCGTTTATTTCTAAAAGCATAGCATTTTTATTAAATATGATTCTAATAATATTTTTGGATTAAACAGATATCTGTGGTCAATTCTATTGATTTTTTTTCCACTCGGAATACATTTTTAAGATATGTAATTTGATCCCACTACTATCAAATGATTAATGCATATAAAAAAAGCAATTACATTTAAAAAAACGAACTATTGAAAAATTGACAGTTGACGGTATAGTTTCAATTTTTTGAATTGATATCGACTATTTTAAAAATGAAACTCTTTTGGAGTTTTTTATGCATCAAAAGGTATTAGTACACACACATATATAAGATCTAGTAATTCGGTTAAGCATTGAAGGTAATTCAAAGGTTTAGATTTTTATATTTGTTTTGTTTGAATACTCTACATGTATATTTAGACTTCATACAAAGTTCCAAAGGTCTATAAACATAGAAAAAATTTAGGATATGGTAATAAATTTGGTTCGTAAAATTGAAAGGAAAATTTTATCTATTCATATATTTAGAACCATCATGTTAAATATATCTATTAATGACTAATATTGCCAAAGGAGAAGGGAAAATTTTATAAAATTTTATCATATTAAGGTATAAAAAAAAGGTAGTGGGGCTTCCAGGCGCGTTGCGCCCTCTAGCCCATAAAAAATTTCTGAGGACGAGCCAGCCGGTGACTTTTTTGTAGAGCACTCAAAATAGTATAACTTTGTCCGGACAAGTAATGGTCTATCGTCGCTACAGGAAAAGTTACAGGCGTTCCAAGGAAGTATACTTTGAGAAGCCTTTTTCCCCTTATAGAATGAGATAGGACGGTTATTTTACAAAACTGACAACACTTTGACGGAGTAGTTTTTTGTGCTGAACAAAAAGTGTCATATAAACATCTGTCAAAAACCGCTTTTTAACTTCACTTAAAATGCCACGTAAGCTACGTAAGAATATACGTAAGAGGAAGGGAGCATTGAAACATCCATAGTAAAACTGACACACCACAAACAGAATTGCAACAACAAATGATGAATGACCCCACTATGTTGCAACAAATGTCAAGCAACCCTATGCTTTTAAAACCGAGTTATTGGTGCACAGAGTGGGGTTTAAGAGCGGCACTTTTAGCGAAAATGGCAGGCTATGGTGGAGCTGCAGACGGAACAGCTTATAACCCTCAAAGTCAAATGAATTTGAGTTCACTCAAAAATCAAATAACAGATGTCAAAAAGTCAAACATAGACATACAGAAACAAATAAGTGAAAACGAAAAGAAACTAGAATATGACAGACACACAAAGAAACTCAATGAGTTAAACGTAGAGAAAAGAAGAAAGAAGAACAACTGAAAGAACTAAGTACAGAGGAATATGCGAAAAAAGTGTCAGAAAAAGCAGCAGAAGTAGCAAAAATGGAACAAGATGTTATAAATTTGAAAAACCATACTACTCAATATAAAGTACTGAAAGATGAAGAGATAAAACAAAAAGCCATGAAGACATATATGGATAGCGATGAGTATAAAAAAGAAGTTGAAGCAAATGTAAAGGCAGAAAAACTTTTACAGTTGCAAAACCAAACCGTACAGTATGACTTAGCAGAAAGTAAAAATAACGACGCAGCCATGCAAAAGGCAATGAAAAGCGCAGATATTATAAAAGCTAATAATGACTGGTTAGATGCCCAAGCCAACGCTAAAGCAGCCCAACTTATAGGGTCAATAAGGACAAAATACAAGCGGATGAAGACAGTTCAAATGAAGCTTTAATGAATGCTGACTTTAAGAATGCCTTCGAAGCTCTTCATAGTAAGGTGAAACTAGTGAACGACTTCTCATCTGGAAAGAAACTGAAGTCTGAAGGTTTCGACAAAGAGTTAAGAGAAGTAGCACAAAATATGACGAAAATAATAGATGCAGCAACGAGACAGACAGTTCAAAGTGCCTATGACGCCGTTAGAGCAACTGTTGTGGAAAGTCAAGAAAAAGAGTTACAACAGACCAAAACAGACCTAGTAAATGCTTTCTTAAGAACGAAAAGTCAGGTAGGACATTATGCTGCAGATGGAACATATGTGCCAGCTGGTGGAACTTATATACCACCAAACCCTCCAAGAGAAACACCTGCACCAGGACTACCTAAAACATTTACATCGTCACATGGACACAGACACAGGCATGCACCAAAACCAACACAACAACCAACAGTTCAAAATCCAGCACCACAACAACCAAAACCACACAGTTCAAAACCTGCCAACAACCAACAGTTCAAAATCCAGCACAACAACCAACAGTTCAAAATCCAGCACAAAACCAGTTCAAATCCAGCACCACAACAAAACACCAACACAGCAACCAACAGTTCAAAACCTGCACCAAACCACCTCCACAACCAGCACAGCAACCAACAGTTCAAAACCCTGCACAACAACAACCACAAAAGAGCAAGGACATAAAAGAAGTAGAGAAAAAGGAAACAAGAATTCTTAAAAATGCTTAAGGAAGATTATGGTTACCCAGATACTCTTGACTTTAGTGACAGATATAAAGAAGCTATTAGAAAGTTCAAGGAAGGAAATACTGACCCGAACCTATTTAGCTTTATGGCTCAGCATCAAATCGGATATAATCTCAAACCTGGAAAATACAAGCTCGCTAAGGGATATGATTTAATAGCATATCATCCAAATGACATGAATGAATTTACTCCGAGATATTTGATGTCAGAGCTAAATGATAATTCAACTCTCTTCATGAAACGCGTAAAAAATAGAGACGGAACGAAAGAAGAAGGTTTTGAGTCCGGATGATTTAGATAGGGAACTTGTTAAAAACGGTCTCGGAATATATGAAATGCCAGCAGATGAGGTACAAGAAACTCCACAGGAAAAGTTCAGATACAACCAGACATGGAAGAAATAGTTCAGCAACAACACTAGAAGAGCCTGAAGGAAACGAACAAATCCCTCCTTTGGAAAAACTTCACAGAACTAGATGAAGATTTGGAACAGCCGAAAAATCTTGACCCTCAACAAGTGTATGCGGAGAATATGGAATCTTTCCAAGAGTCTAAGAAAAATTCGGCTGACATAGTAGAAGAATATCGAAAAATGTTACCGACATACAAAAGACTCCAACATCAGATGAAAATATTCAGCATAGAATGGAAGTACTGAAAGAAAATGTACGCAAATACAATAATCCTTTTTACTTACGACCATATAACGTTCAATCTTTGGCTGAACTCGGTGAAAATAAAAGGTTAAATTCAAAAAACATATAGAAATGAAACATTGTTTAAAGTTCATTCAGAACCTAACCAATATGGAAACAAACCTTTTGTTTCTGCAGACTATGGAACTACAATGAGATGGGGTCATAAAGCTAATCCGGATAGGTGGTTCATAAACTTACAACCTCAATTCCAAGAAGTTGTAGACGCAATGGAAGTGAATGGTGAACCAGATATAGCTGGTATTTTAAGCGCGGCTTTAATGCCATTGAAAGATATGAAACATGAGATATTTTGGACCAGTATGAAATGAACATGGCTGATGGAAATATAACACCTGACGTTCTAGAACATTTATCTCAAAGAACTACACAGAACCATAGAGATGGTATATTTGGTGAAGAGTTTAGAAAGAAAGTTAGGGAGAGAGAAGGAAGAGAACCTATTGTACATGACCTTGCAAACGAAAGTTTGCAAAATGTCATAAAAACTTACTTTGCAGACAATGAACTGAGAAGGATGAATTTTAAGAAAACTCAAATGGACAGTACCAAATGAAATGTTAGTATTGAAAAACATGTTCCTTGACAAAATAAAACCAACTACAGAAATAAATGACGCAAGACTGAAACGTTGGGTAAAAGCTTTCCCATTCACAAAAGATATTATTGGTTACATGAAAAGAAAACCAGATGGCTAAAAAACATATATTTGGAAACGAGCTTATTCCATATGGACAAGCTCTGTTTTGAAGAGCTTGAACCGGAAACTCAGGAAAGAGTCATGCAACAATAAGCGAAGCTCAAATACAAACTATGACAAAATCTTTCTAGGATATAGGTTACCTGAGATGGGCGACCAGAGCCCAAAGGCAAAAAGGACATGGGAAATTTACAACATACTAGGTGAACATGAGGCAAAGATGCAACAACTTGAAGCAGAGGGCAAGTTACCAAAAAGCGACACCAAAGAAGAAGAGTAGAACAAAGTGAAAGTAGTGAAGAAGTAACTCCATCTAGTGAAAGTAGTGGCAATGAAGGAAAAAGAAGAGTTAAAAACTCAGTCAGGAAGAAAGTAAAGCTTGGTCCGAGTGGGTTCTATTATGATATATAAATCCAACTATTCTATATTTTTACCCATATGAAATTGTACGCCGCTCAGAATATAACGCCAACAGTTTTGGATGCCATGAACGGAAATGTTTCCGAATGGTATAACGAATGCGACAATGCCATTAGAAGGTAGAAATAGTTCCTGGAACTTACGAATATAAAACTTCTGTTCTTATGGAAACGTAGGTGAGTTTGGAGAAGGTTCTTCAACAACAGTAGATATTGCTTGCGACAGGTTTCATATTATTTCTATTGACAACTCATTCTTATACGTGGAACAAGACATTGAAATAAAACCTTCTGCCAAGTTGTCTGACAAGAAAGGTTGCAATGGAATTTTCTATGTCGGATACCAATATGCTCCAGAAGTTTTCATGGGATATAAGATATATTCTAACTCTGACTTAGTTCAAACAGTAACATGGGCAAACTATGAATGGT